GTAACCAATGTCGTTAATTGGGCTAAAGCCAGAGTCGAACCACAAATCTCTTGGTTTTGAGCCAGATTTCTAACCACTTCGCCTCGGCGTTTTTTATTTTAAGATAACAACCGTGTGTTAAATAAAATGTTATAAATCAAACTCGTATTAAGCCACCTATAATAGTACTACTATACTTTTTTTACTGGTTGAAGAATAATAGAAATATTCTAAATCTTCAAAAAAACCGGAATATTAAACATATTTGAAAATAATCAATAATAACCTTGAACCAGAACTTAATAATATAAAATACAAAAAATACTTAAGAAAAATAAATAACCTTTGATGAAAAATTATTACTAACTCATAGTTAGAAGTAGAAGTTTCTTCAATATTAACATTCATAAGGCTTGAGATTACTGTTTTCTCTTACGGGTCCGAGACCCTTTCCAAATGAGTCTTTTATAAATCCAATATTAGATAATCAGACAAATCCCATACAACACCGAAATGACTTTGTTGACTTGTTATCAGTTTGATTAACCGTATTATTACGAAAATGTGGAATAATCTAGCGTTATTTATATATGCAAAAATTAAGATTTACGTGAGAATCCTTTTAAATTATCCCTATATACCAATCATTTAAATACGAGCAGGATGCTTTGAAAAGACGGGAAACAAATCAACTAATCAACTACTCTAATACCTTTAAAATAGTTCGTAATCAACAATACAGCTTTCAAAAAAATTTTCGCTTCAGTCCAAAACTCATTGCCACTTTTGTTAATAACTTACCCAACTGTAATGATTGTGAGCTTTTTTAACTTGCTCACAGTTTTCTCTTGCCGTTGAAGCAAAAATGTTTGAAACAGTATCTGAAGACCTAATTAATGGATATTGTTAGACTAAGATCTTTTACGACCATGACTCTATAATCAACCTTGAATAAAAATTCATTTTTTTATTTTAATACCGGTGAATAAATTTGCTATAAAACATTGAGCTTCTTGATACTAACATTTAACTATCTGGACTATTAAAAAATGTAATGGTCTCTCTTTTTTTTAACATGATTATTACGGCGCCCTCAAAAACCCTTACAGTCTCATCACTGAGCACCGTGGAAGAGCAATTAGCAAAGAAGTTCATGCCTCCATCCTAACCAATGTCGCTTAATGGGCTATATGCAAGCACATTGCTGGCTTCTATAACATAAAACCCACTTACGCAAACTCTAAACCGTCTCGTATTATTTTAAGGCCCGCTTACTGCCCACTTGGCTCGCTAGTAGCTTTGATATGAAGTTATTGAGGTCGTATTAATCGCATAAATTTTGTTGATACTATCATAAAAAATGTCATTCTTTGGTTTAGTTAGTCTTCCAGTTTATTTGTAATTCAAGACGATAGAGGTATTAAAAATTACGCAAGTCCTGTATAAAAAAACATGAAACTTTTAATGAGTTTCATTGAAAAAACTCTCTCATCGTGAGAGAGAAAGACTTTTCAGTAATAAAAATGTAGCTATATTAATAATTTAAAAAATTAAAATCATTTGTATTTGAATAGGTTAAATTTTTTTTTTTAAAATCAAACGTTTTAATAAAGACCGGAAGGATTAGTGCAATAATAAACTGTTTATTATATTATTTAATATAGTTTGTATATTGTTTATACTAGCTTATTATAATTTTAATACTGTAGTGTTATATAAATTATGCTGTTATTTTTAACTAGTTTGCTACACTTATTTTGCGAAACATCTTTATATATATATATATATATATATATATATATATATATATATATATATATATATATATATATATATATATATATATATATATATATATATATATATATATATATATATATATATATATATATATATATATATATATATATATATATATATATATATATAAAAACTGGCAGTAGAAGAAAAAGTTAAATAAGTGTTTGTTTTTTTTACTAATTTATTACTGGTTTGTTCTTAAAGGACATCGAGCACTCTTTTTGTAAGTTCCACTAACATGTTTGACATGATATATATTTCTATAATTTGGCATCTAAGTTTACTGTTTGTAGGTGATTAAAACAATTAAATAACATTGATCAAATAAATGAATTTCATGTTTTAATTTTACAAACATTACACAGATATAGTTTTAATTGAAAAGAAAAGTTATTTATTTGTAGAAATAGTTTAAATTTTTCTTTGAATATAGTTTTAATAATGGAGCTTATCACCCCCCTTTATTTAGCAGAATAGTTCAGGCATACAAAATGAATAAGAAAGCAGGCAGAAAAATCTATATGACTAGGCAGACAATGACAGATGCCTACAATTCTGTCATATGTAAACAGATGTCTGCTATCCAGGAATCTAAGCACTATTAAAAGTACGGCACTAATTTTCATAATGCTTCTGCCTCAACATCACTACTACGTGTGATGCTGTCAACATCATAGTCATCTGCAGCATCATCAACGAATCATCACCTTTATCTTCAGCACCTGCAGAAAGTCCACAAAAGCCATTGTCTACTTTATTTTAAGAAAAGTCATTTAATGAAAACTTTTTTCTTGAAGAACTACAGCCCAGATTTGCGCAAACTTCTGGGGATGGTAGGTTGGTAAGAACCATCAGGTTTTGATACGAAGAAAGCCTAACAGGTGATAAATGTTTAAAGCGACTGAGATAAGCAGTGAAAAAAAAAAAAAATACAAAAAAAAAGAAAAGACCACAATAAAAAGAAGAATTCTTCCACTCTGAAATTATAGGGGTAGTGATGAGGATGATGACACTGTGTCTATAATGGTATTTAAAGAGATCATAGATAAGAATGGGTGTGCTGTGACATGTGATATTTGGTACCATGTAAAATTGCACAGAAATTCCAGACAAAGCTGAGAGTAAAGCCATGGACTGGATCTGTGAGAAGTGTCAAAAAATGATGTAAAAATATATATTGTACATTAATGCCCCTGTTACCCTATATATATATATATATATATATATATATATATATATATATATATATATATATATATATATATATATATATATATATATATATATATATATATATATATATGTGTATATATATATATATATATATATATATATATATATATATATATATATATATATATATATATATATATATATATATATATATATATATATACCAAATGCTGCCTGATCGGTTGATCATTGATCGATTGAGCTTGATTAAGGTTGTTAAATGTTACTGAATATATTTCAGTAACAATTTTAAAATACTCAATAAGATCTGGTCTGGTTTTTCTGTCTTCTAATGTTGTGATGTTTTAAATTTCCAGCCTAGTATTGTAATTATAATTTTGAATACTTAAAACCAATTTTGTTGCTTTCTGCAGCACTTTTATTAAATGTTTCATTATTGTATTTATAATGCAGATTCCAAATTTGAATAGAATACTCAAGATGCGTTTCAATGTATTCTTTGTAAATTATATCAAATATTTTTTTGTCGATTTTAATAAATTTTGTTTTGCATAAGGTTGGTTACTTATATACGTGTTTTTAATATAAGTTATCACTCTTACTGCTCGATAGTCTCTGCTGATTCAAACTGATACCAGTTATATCTTGGCCAGAACAGTCTTCTGATTAAAACCCAATAGAAAACCTTTGATTTAAACTGGATAGAAAACTGCAAACCTGTATGACAACAAATGAAGATTTCTATCATAATTGTAATACTTGTTTACAAAATTTTAAATTGTTTACTTGTATTCTCGTAAGTTTTTAAAGCATATTGCTAATTTATATTTATAGATTAATTTAAAATTGTCACTTGCATGATAGTGTATTTTTTTCCATAAATATTATATATAGAATTATTAAATATATACTACTGTGATCAAAAAAGTGAAACTGTCATTTAAAATTCTCGGGTATTATGAAGGCAGGTAATTTTTTTTCCTAGGTTAGTAGGACTGTCTATAACAATTGCTAAGCGTCTGTTTTTCAAAAGGTTTAATTATCTCTGAGTTACACATGTTTTTGTAAACAACCAAAAGTTTTCAATTTCTACAATGGGTGATTTTGTTGAGCAAAGAACTTGCATTAAATTTAGTTTGTGGAACAAATAATCTTGTGTGGAAACATTAAAATGTGCTTGAAAATTGTCAATTGACAATTAGAGATCTTGCTGATAGTTTTGGAATATCATTTGGTTCAGTCAAAACCATTTTGAAGAATGTTTTGTGTCTCAAACGTGTCAAGTCTTGTCTGTCAAGTCTGATTTGGCCCTGTCTGACTTCTGGCTATTCAGCAAACTCAAAAGGCCAATGCAGGGAGGCCGTTTTGACGTAGTTGAGGAGATAAAAACTGAATCAAAGGTCTTAAAGGCTATACTGGAAAAAGACTTTTCCAACTGTTTCAAGGACTGGAAAAAGCGTTATAAAAAGTGTGTTTTATTGGACAGGGATTACTTTGAAGGAGATAAATCTGAAACAATTTCACTTTTTGATCACAATAGTATATATGTATATATTTAGTAAAAATCTTATTTTATGTAACAATTTTTACAGTAGTGTTTCTTAAAACAATTGTCTTCTTAATATTAAGTATTCAGTTTAAACACCTGCACAGTTAATAACATTATTATTTACTAATATTAGCATTTTTAAAATGGTTTTAATGAGCAGAGATATAAAATGTACAATCATTTTTTTTCTATCAAGTCATTAACTTTAAAGTTTAATGTTCTTATTTTTATTTTTTTTGAAACTGTTGTGTGTAACTAAGAATATTTTCTATTCCAAATGTACTTTGTTTTTTATTTGTTTTCCATTCAAACTTTTCATTTAGTTTTCTTGTACCTTTTACCCCCATTTGCAAAGTCATTGTAATAAATGAATTATTTTTTAATTTAAAAATATCAATTGCTAATTTGCCCTTATTTTCATGCATTGATATTATGTTTTTAATTTTATTATGTTTTGATTTTTGTTTTTTAATTTTAGCAGGAATAATAATACAAATGAAAAGTATTATAAGATGTAATTTTTGAGATGGTTGAAGCAACCAGTGATTTTTTAGACCCAATAAATTCTTCCAACAAAAGATCAGTTTCAAATTCAAGCAGTAAATCATTTGATTCAGAGTACTCTAGTAGCATAGAAAATAAAGTCAAAAGGAAATTATCTGATGCTTCAAATGCATATGTTACAACTAGCAAACAAGTAGAGGCAGATTTGCTATTGGAAGATAACAGATTCCCAGCATCCAATTTAAATGAGTTTGATAATAATGGTATTGCAGGGTAATTTTTTTAAAGTTTGTTTGAAATTATTTTCAGTAATCATTTCTTTTATATGTATATATTTTTTTATATGTATTTTAAATCAATAAATTAAATCTTTACTTCATTTATTATAAAATATGAATTTTTTTATCAATATTTTACATTAAACACAATGATAAATTATTTATTATTTTCAGGAATAGTTAAGTAGCTTTGAATGCAGTATTGTGCATTTTGTTGTTCACTTAAAAATTATGCACTCTTCATATAATGAGCTGTTTGAGTTATGTGTATGTTTTATAGATATTATGAGTTTAGCTATAAAATATACTTTGATCTGCTTACGATATATTAAAAATGTCTGTCCCAAATATTAAAATATATATCATTAAACTTTTTTGATATATCAAGATTATAAAAGCAAATGAGAGTCTTTATTATACTTCATCATATATTTGTAGGTTTTTTATTGTTTATAAGACTTTTGTTGATTTTATTTGTATAGTAAAGCATTTATTATTTTTAAAAAAGCAATTTTTTTTTTGTTATATTTTGAAAAATGATTTTATTTTTATAACATGTACATAAAAATTAGCTTAAGGTAAAAATAAATTAGATAAAATAAATAAATTAAATAAACTAAAAGTAAAAACAATTCTCTTAAAAGTAAAAAAAGAGCCATTCATATCAACTTATTATTCAGATAGTCTATTCTGTTAATAGAATCAATAGTTTCTTTTGCCACACACAACAAGCTGATTATTTTGCCACACACAAAAAGTTATTTCTTTGAACTGATCCTACTAGACATAATAGTATCAAAAGTTAATAGTTTTAAAAACAAACGAGGCTACAATAGTTTTTATATTCAAAAAACATTTTTACGCATTTGTCATAGCAGTTTCTAATGTTAAAGCTGTTACACAGGGAAGCATTTTATAAGCATATACAATTTTAAAAGAATAGCTTTACATTAAGTAGGCTTAAACACCTGTAAAAGTATCATATCAATATTTTCATTTGAGTATATAAATTTTTTCAAATTTTTCAAATTTCAAAGGTATTTAAAACTGTCATCAAATTCCAGCTTGCAACCTGCTATGTTTAATTTTGAAAAAAAAGGCAACATAATTTAAAAACCATACTAACTGTCATTAATGGGGTTTAATAATGTCTGAAGAGAGAACCATAGTGGAGCTATAAATCCTTAAATATTCTTGCATAAGCAAGAATATTTTAAAAATCCCACCTTTATTAGATCTAATATGCATATATGAAAACAGAGATACCAAATTATTAATGTAAAACCTAAACAGTAACAGTGATAAAATACTACCTTGTCATACACCATTCTCAATACTAAAAAAAGGTGATTTAGCTTTCTGCTAACTGATAAACATTTCTGGGTCAAGAATGCAAGTAGGTTTGCAATACTTTTTGATATTCCTTGATCTAATAGGTTGAAACACAGAAACTAATGATCAAGGGATACTCCAAACCCTGTAATTTTTCACATCAGTTAGGTCGGCCACTTTGCTCTTCACTAAAGGAATAATGGAGGATTCACAGAATTTAGTAAATACCCATGCCTTAAACAGAGATTGAAAAACATAGTAATTAGAAGATGTAACTTATTTCCACCATACATAAAATCTCCCATACATAAACCATCAGGACCAGTTACTTTTCATGATTTTTGTTTTTTTTTATGATTGTGAAAACCTTTTATGCGTATTAAGTATGAAATAATATACTCCAGCAGTTTTAATGGATTTAGGTTACTAATATCATCTGTTTTAAGAACCTGATTTTATGCACAAGTATGCGTTTTAAGTATAAAATGATATACTCCAGCAGTTTTAATGGATTTAGGTTACTAATATCATCTGTTTTAAGAACCTGATTTAAAAAAAAATAATGAGTGGCTCTTGTAATATTACATATTACAAGACATTTAGTTAAAAAATCAATGAAAAAAATCCTCAATTAATATATTATAAATTTGGTAAGGTTCTTTGATTAAAGGTTTGCACTACTAAACATCTCGGCAATTCTCTTGCTTCTTTTCAGATGTTTTTTGCTCATTTGTGAAACATTGAATCTGCTGATGACAGGCTTCATTTTAGCGCAAGCTGCTTCAGAAGCCTGCTCTGCATATCTCCCAAGAGAATGACAAGATCTGAAAATAAAGTCTTCTTAGTGTGCTGTAACAGCTTGTACTTTAATAAAATGCTATAATAAAATATCAATCAAGTTTTTAAAAATAATGCTATTTCTTTTATTAATATCTCTTTGAGAAAAGTGTTATGATAAGTTATAATGAAATAAAAAAAAATGTAAATGAAAAAGACTTCCTTAGCTACTATATCCTTTTATCTTACAGTATTTTTAGGTAAGCGCGTAAGATTGTGTAAATGCTTGAATGTCATCTTTGTAATTGGAATCCAAACTTTTCACAAATGTTCCTCAAACTACCTGGCCGAAATTTGTAGGGGCTCTAATAGTGGTAGTACCTATACTGGCAACAGATTGTCTAGCTCTGCAATTTGGTTAAGAATGGTATGAATAACAACACCCAAGAAGTTCTGGCAAAGGTATAACATCTAACACCGACCTGAATTTGTCTTCTAACCTGATCAAGCATAGCATCACAATATTCTATATAAAAATAATTTTAATAAATATATGAAAAAATTTAGATTATTTTAAGCTGAAGCTTAAAAAATTGTCTAGACAAGCATTAATTAGAAGTAAAAATAAACAGAAATAACTAGAAATGTTCACTAAAATCACCTTAAATTCCTGCATTCTTTTGTGTAGGCTTGATACAAAAGAATAATGGACTTTAAAGTATCTTCAGCCTTGTAATATAGTCTATACCAATCATCTTTAGATCTCAAAGCTCTGAAACCTATAGCAGCAAAAGTTGATGCACTTTCCCACCAACAACAGGAATTCCTCTGTGAGCCTAAAATATTTTATATAAGGCTCCAGATTTACATTTTATCTGGCAGTGCATGCATGTGTGTTCAAATAGTATAAAACAACTGGCAGTGCATGCATGTGTGTTCAAATAGTATAAAAAGTATTGATTTGGTTTATAATATCAAATAATATATAACACCAAAATTCCTAAGGATATGTTGATGAGTTTCGAATCTGCTATCAGATAATACTTGTTAATCTGCAATAGGTTATTGTGGGTCTCTTATAGGTTATTTGCATATGCTAAAACAACAGCCTCATTGATCCCTGAGTATTTTCCTTTGTCCCCCTTGGTGTCCTCTCTTTTTTAGGGTCGAACACATTGCAAAGCAAATTCAATGAACCTCTTCCTAAATTGCATCACAATACATAGAGTTTAGGGATGTTTTACTAAATACTAGATTAAAAGAATACTAAACTTATATGTGTGACAAAGATTTAGGGTTAGAGCTTGACAAAAATAAATTTTTTTAAAACTTATATATATGTGTATATATATATGTGTGTGTGTGTGTGTATATATGTATATATATATATATATATATATATATATATATATATATATATATATATATATATATATATATATATATATATATATATATATATGTATGTATATATATATATGTATATATATATATGTATGTATATATATATGTATATATATATATATATATATATATATATATATATATATATATATATATATATATATATGTAAAAATATTATGTGTGTGTGTGTATATATATATATATATATATATATATATATATATATATATATATATATATATATATATATATATATATATATATATATATATATATATATATATTTATGTAAAAATATTATGTGTGTATATATATATATTTATGTATACAATAGCATATATAGATATACATTTTGCTGTCTTAAATCAATATGGTTTTTTTTAGAAAAAGATGTATGTTTTAGCATTATATTTTTATCTTATTTATAATGATTTCGATTTTATATGGTTTTATATATTTTGAGTCTAATTTTAATATTATTTAGACATAATGTATTAATCTTGTAATGGTAGATATGTTTAATATACATCATTAAATAATCACATGAATAAATCAAAGTCTATAATATAGCAATATTATTTGCATTTTGTATATTGGTGTTATTAAGTACTTAATTATGGTATTAAGTAGTTGAATTTAATTTTAATATATTTTTAGTTGATAGATAGATTATAATTGATTAAATATAATTAATTTATCAATTTAATAGATAGATTAACTTGAAGTATTGTCTGTTGTTTTGAGCCAAACAATAGCTTCATAAATATAGATAATAAATGTTTATAATCAACTTTTATTTCAATAGATTTGTGTTTTATTATGGGAATATTTTTACTGTGCACATTTTTTATAAATTAATTCTATTAAATTTTATTAACAATATGTATTTGTTTTAATATAATATTTAATTTATATTAGAAAACAAAAATAAAATAATTCTTACTTTAAATCATTTATAAAAAAGATTTTCACTTTTAACAGGTTGTTTTAACGAGTTAATTATATTATTTAATAAATAATTGTGATTTATATGGTTATTAGTGGAAACAGCATGAATGTTTTTATTACTGTGGATACTATTTAATTGTTAAAATTAGTAATCTAAAATAGATTTAAAAAAATAAATTATAAGTGTCATATTTTATTTTTAGCTCTTTTCAAAATGGATTACCTGAGTCAAAAGTGAAAAAGTACAAAAAAAAAAAAAGAATTTCTCAGGTATGTAGCCATATAACATAGTAGCCATGTTCAAATCTATGTTTTTTTTTTGTTTTGCTTATAAAATGTTTATTCCGCACAAATCGATATGTTTACATAAAAAATGTAGTTTTAATATTGGTAATTTTAATATTAATATTGGTCAAAACATTGATAATTTTATTGTCAATCTTTCTTTGGAAATCATTTCAAATTAAAATTAAAATAAGTTTACATACAGTAAATGTGAAATGTCTAAAATACATTCCTACTGTTATAAAAGTTGCCATTCACAATCTATTGCAATGTGAATGGCAACTTGTAGAAATGGATTTTTATTGCATGATAAATGTGTTGCTAAGAATATGGCTGATATATAAGATGCAAATGAAACATTAATGTGTTTTTAGAAGATGAGAAAAATGTTTTCAGAAAAAAAATAATGAATAAAATATAAATAAATAATAAACAACAACTTAACAAGAAAAAAAAAAACAAACAAAAGCATATTGGCTTACTTAAATAATGACCTTTTTTTAAGATAAAGTGATCACTTTATAAAACAACAGCCATTCTATATTTTGCATAGAAAAACAGTTGGCTGTGCTTTAGAAGTATGTGTAACTTTTAAAGTTAAAAATTTATAAGTTTCTGTATGGTTTAAAAAAATCAGATGAAAAAAATTAAAGAAAAAAAATATTTATATTTTTCATTTCAAGAATTTTTGAATTTAAAAAATCTTTACAATTTGTCTTTTATATTTCTATTTCATAGAGATTTTTCCTAGTTGAACAAGAAGACCACCTTCTAACAATTTTTGTAAAATTGTTAAAACTCAAAGAGAATTGTGATCATAAGTTTTGATCTATTTAAGAAGTACTTATGTATTCCTCAAAAATGCTTTTGAACACATAAAAAAAATTTTTTTAATAAAAAAAATTAAAAATGCCTTTAAACAAACGTTTTATGTTGTAAATATCTTTTTGGGTATAAAATGTTTGTTTATAAAACTTGCTTATTTTAAATAACATCTTTTTTGGTTTTGTTTTTTATTTAGTTGATAAATTTATTTTCAAGCTTTTCATTTTGAATTTAAGATTATATCTGGGGATCAAAAATCAAAGGCTGCTTTGTTTCAGAAGATACTCAAAGACATGTCTGCAGAAGAAGGCCTTGTTAGTGGTTAGTTATAAATATAAAATCATAAATATAAAATCAACTTTTAGGAAGTTTGTAAAGTTTAGAGTATTTTTTTTTTTAAAATACCTTTTATATGTTCCTAGAATTAAATCTAAGTTTGAAAAGTTTGTATATTTTATTATCCTTGATATAAAAAGACATATTGTTTATTAGTTTTCAATAGGGGAAATGGTAGTCATCTATAGAGGAAATGGTTGTTAACAATCAATAGAAGAATATTTATTAATTGATGGAAAGTTATTAATGGATGTTAGGATAGATATTTACAGACAGAAGGAGAGTTTCTAATAGATAAAATAAGAGTTGCTAATAGATAAGATGAGAGTTAGATAATAGAATTATATAATAGATGGATAATAGCTATCAATAGATAAAAAGATTTTTTGCAATTTTGTTATAATGAAATTGTATTTTTGCCATAGCTTTTCTATTAGTTCTTTTAAAAAAATAACTCAATGTTCAATGTTCACCTCTTACTGATGAACATAATGGTTTTGTGTGCCACATTAGATAAAAGTATATAAATAAATGGTTTTGTGTGCCACATTAGATAAAAGTATACAAAATTTTTTTATCTTTTGACTATCAATAATTTGATGAATTTTTTTATCTTTTGACTATCAATAATTTGATGAAGTTTTTTATCTTTTGACTATCAATAATTTGATGAAGTTTTTTATCTTTTGACTATCAATAATTTGATAATGGAGTTTTTTATCTTGTATATACCAATAATTTAATGAAGTCTTGTGACTTTTTATAACTTCTTTTTATGATTTTTTAAAAAAAGTTTTAGCTTGTTTTAATCAAAAAATTTGTCATTTGTTTTTTATTTAATTCTTTAAAGAATTAAATGAAAGTTTTTTTATTAATTAAAATCAACAAAAGATGTTATATAAAGTTTTGATTAACAATTGACAATGAACAAACAAGTTTAGTATGGTACTACCAGAGAAAATTGTGGGATTTAAAATTCTTGTTTTCTTTTTTTTACTACAAAGTAACACTTTACCACCACCATTTACTGTCAATACATTTTAAGGCTGAGATAGTTAAGATTATAAAATTTAGGAATAGCACAATATATTAGTATTCTACTGAGCATCTAATTATACTCTACATTTTTTTTTTTAGATTATTCTTGTGCATTTTATCGAGATATCCTCATACATGGGCGTCTTTATCTGTCACGAACTTGGTTGTGTTTTCATGCAAATATAATTGGATGGGAAACATTGGTAATAATTTATAAAGTTTTGAAACTAATAATTATATTGTATATGCTTTCACTCTCTTAGTCATGAGAAATCCTAAATAGAATTCCGAGGTTCAGAGTCACGATGTCCGAGGTTCAGAGTCACGATGTCACGATGTCCGAGGTTCAGAGTCACTAATTTTATGTTCTCAAGATCTGAAGAAAAATGATAAATAAATTTAGGTACTTGGAGTCTCTTATTTTTGAGAGTCTCTAAATACCTAATTAATTATGTGAAATTTCTCATTTTCACAGGTTTTTGGAGTTTTTAATAACACATTGAAGCTCTTTGTTTAAATAGATAGACCTATAATTCTAGAGTCATATCATTGTTAAGTAACTTTGTTAAAACCACAATCAGAACTTCTTTTAACTAAAAAAAGGAAATTTTAAATAAAAATTTGTATTATTAGTTTTTTTATTTTTGACTTTTCATTATCTTTAACCATCTTAATTGTTTCTTAATTGATTTTACTTAAACATACTTTTAAGTCTTCCTCTATGTACTGAGTAATTAATGTTAATTTAACACTGCAAGTTTTCATTGTACCTTCATTATTAAGATTTCATGTGACTTTTCTGGATTACGAAAGTGTCTTACAAAGCTATTAATGTACTCAGGCTCCAAATAACCCTTTGTATATGAGTCTGTAATATAAAACAGATATCCAGAACAATAGTCAGGAATATAAAGCTTTAATGCAATATTATAAATTTAAATCATTATTGTCTCCTCTACAATCTATCTTTCTTTTGCCTCTTAACACACCGTTGCAGGGTTCAGAACTTGAAAAGGTTTAGGGTATTACTTCTATACTCTTATTAATACTCTTTACTAAAAAATAGAATTCTTTAATAGCTAGATCCATATTCTGGATGGCCATACCCAGTAAGTTGAACAGTTTGACGTGCCCTCATATAGCTTTTCTTTCATAGTATGTGTAGAAATCAGCATTTCTTCAAATTAATTATAAAAAAATTCAAATCTAAAAATCAATCTCCATATCTCAGATATAGGTGCATAGTTTTCTAAAATAAAATGTTTCTCGTAAAAGAATCTTTATCAACCTCAGAATACTTTATGTATTATTTCAAAGTTATTTTAAAAATATGTGTTGCATCCATGTTGAATGTGTTGCATCCAAATATTGAATATATTTACTGATATAGTATAATTCTTTTATCAAGAAAATTTTTGCTATGATTATGGTGCTGTCTAATTTAAAATTAATTTACAGATTTTTTCACCTTTTGTAGAATGATTTTACTTAAGAGTAAAAAACCTTGTTATAATGCATATGACTTATTTTATGACTCATTTCAACTATTTTGGCTTTGTGACAATATTTTTAATGTTTATGACATTTTTTGTCATGTCATGTGAAAAAATATGTTTTAATATCATTATTTATATATCATTAGGGGCTTGTTTGAGTCTATTGTTTTTTCTATTATTGATAAAACAATTAGCAAATAGAGTTTAATGTTCTATATTAAAAGATAATGTTTGATCTAATTAATTTATTACCTACTATTAACTTTTTTTTTTTATTTAAAGCAAATTTTTAAGTCAAAGTTTATTTATAGTAAAAGTTTTTGCTTTGGTAATTTGATTATAATTTTCACTATTTTTTTCTGTCTTGAGCATTTATACAAGTATATTACAAGATTTATTTAAAATCATTTAAGCAAATGGATCAAGTATTTTAAAGATCAAGTAAATTATTTAATGCATAAAAAATATAAAAGTTTAACTTTCTCTTATACACTCCCCCCCCTCCCTTGTTTTCCTGATTTTTTAATTATTACTTGTTGTCAACAGAAACTGATAATAATAACAAATTCTTTTAATTTTAAATTAAGTGGAAACAATATAAGTTTAAATAGTTTAAAGATTTGCATAGATAAACTTTTTTCTTTTGTACCAGGTGACTGTCCGATGGAGTGATGTAACATCTATAACAAAAGAAAAAACTGCTAAACTAATTCCAAATGCAATACAAATTTATACTGGTAGTGACAAAGTAAGTACTTTTAACTCATTGTATCTCATAGAACATTTTATCTCATACAGTAGTGTGACTTTTTACAAACGAGGTACTAGGTTTGATTAAATATTTTAATGACAGTCTATCACCTACTAAATGATAGCTTATTACATACTAAATGACAGTCTATCACCTACTAAATGGTAGTCTATTACATACTAACGTTGCTTAATAAAAATCCTGTTAGTCATGTTATCGATTGATATCAATGGATTAAAGCTTTAATTCAGCACCATTGAATTGTTCTTACAAAAGTTAATCCCCCTCCTCTAAACAAACAAGACGAGTGGAGTGGAAGAAAATTTCCTTACAACCTAGCTATATCTTTTGAATGCTCAAAAATTTTGAATGAAATTCAAAATCTTTAAGTTATGGTTTATGAATACAATTTTTTTTTTTAAAAAAAACATTTTTTTTTAATGGAAAAATGTTTTTGTAAAGTGAGAGTAAAATATAATTCTCAGGCTTTAATGAGTTTTTTCAAAACATTTTCATTTGAAAGCAGTGTTACTCATAACGATTGTTTATTTTAATTTTATTAAGATCTTAAAAAATAAGTTTTAAGTCTTAAAAATAAATGTTCATATATTCTGAGCAAGTTTCTCAATCACATAAACAGGTTTAAAATTTTAGAAAAGTAATGCCAATCAAAAAATTATTTATAAGCAATAAAAAAAAAAAAAGTTTTATCGAAGTTTCACTCTTGATCTGCATTATGAAATAAAAACTTTTTAAAATTTACTAGAGAAGTAGTGTGCTTCCGAAACATTAAGATTAAACATTTGGGATAGCTTTAAAAGGTAGCTTTTGAACATTTAGGGTAGCTTTAAAAAATAGCTTTTAACACTACATAATATTTTTATTTTTAGATTATTGCTTGATTAATACATTCTTATAAGAAAAAATCAATTCAACATTTAAGAGTATAGGAATTAAAAGGTTAAACCCCTCCATAAATAACAAAAATGTGTACGTATTTCAATTTTTATAAACTTTTTTTAATCTGATAATACTTCGTGCATAGGAATCATTAAAAAAAAAAAAAATGATGTTTATTTAAAATCCGCTGAAATAATTTGTTTGCAAAACAAGAATTTTGAAGTTATGGAAACTGTTTAAATCTAAAATAAGCAAAGTATTGAATGAAATGAATAAATTTAGCGCTAATATTATTGAGTCACCAAATTAAGAATTATAATTTTTTTTTTTGATTTTTAAATATTAAGTACTTTTTTTATAACTTCGGTCACTAAATACGCGCAAGTTGTCACGATAAAAACATTAAATAGAGGAAACGTTGATTGTGAAAAATATGACTTTAGTTTATGAGAATTACAAAAAATATATATTTAATTACAAAAAATATATTTAATTGCGCCGCGCTGAAATAATTCGTTTGCATACAAAAAATTCAAAATTGTGCATATTCTCAAAACTTTGAGTAAACAATCATTGAAATTTATATGAAATGTAATGATAAAAAAAGTAATGATAAAATTTAGCATTTGTATATTTAAGAGTCTTCTAAATTTTATTGCTAAAAATATTTTTTGCTTTTTAATAAATTTTTTTTAATCAAACTTGTCAATTAAAAAATTAAAAATCTTTTCAAAAAATTAAATTAAACAATTATGTTTCATAATTTTTCATAAAATAACAAAAGAAAACTAGCTTTTATTTGTGATATGGCGGTATGTTGTTGCGATGTGTTATTCGGATGTTAAATTTGTAGTATTGCGATGTTTTGATTGGAGACAGAACTTACGGTGATCAGAAAGTCCGGTCAAAATAGTCCCACTTGAAACAAAATATCGAATACTAGTTTTTATTTTTGTTATTTAATTTTTACAATATAAATTAACGATATAGTTGTATGCATAATTCAGAAAAAAAAAAAAATTAAAAAACGTTTATGCCTAAAATATAAAGGTTCAAAGCTTAAGTGACCGAACTTAGGCGGTTTTACGGTATATAATTTTTTTTTAGGTATATAATTTTTTTTTTAGGTATATAATTTTTTTTAAAACCATGATAATGTTAATAAAGCATACGGTATATAATTTTTTTTAAAACCATGATAATGTTAATAAAAACGCAAATAAACATAATGAAACAATAGCCCAATTCTTTTTTCTAATTTAGAATCTTTTCTTATATATTTCATCCAATTTTTGATTACTACTAATAAATCAGTGAAATTTACAAGTGACAACCAGACATTAAAACGTTAAAAACTAAATCAAGCTAATTGTATGCAACGTAACCACAAACAAATGGTTTGTGGTTACGTTGATAAAGTTACCTTAAAAGAATAATTACTGCGCTCTCCTGCGTAAAATGGAACACGTTGGTCACATTATTACTATTATTATTTTTATTGTTATTATTATTTGCTGTTGTTGTTATTAATGTTTTTGTTAAAGCAACTAAAGATTTTTTTGTTAAACACAATTTAAAGTTGTTTGTAGGTGAATTTTATAAACTATAATTAAATGAGTGTTTCTCAAAAGAGCCGATTTGCTTATGAAATTTCGAACGAATCCGCCCTTTTAACAAACACTGATTTGCTTATGAAATTTCGAACGAATCCGCCCATTTAACAAACACTGATTTAATTTAGATTTAATTTTTTTCATTTAGTTTTGCTTTGCTACAAATTGAACCATAATGCTTTGTAATTATATAATGCATTAATTGAATTTTTCGTAATCCTACGGTTATCAAAATTATATTGAGAATCGTCGGTGTCGCTAGATAATGGATTAATCATGAAACAAAATGTTCTTTTTTTAAACTTTTTTTCAGTGATCATCCACAAACATTAACCTTATGATTTCTGTAAACTTTAAACTTAATTATTGCTAAATTAATTTTAAAGTATAAAGAAATAGATAAATAAAGAAAAGTATAAATTAGTTGTTGAAATTTCTAGGTAGTTACGCTTTTTTTAGAAATAAAAGTTCCAGAAAACGCTTCTTCAATAAATTTAGTTTATGGTTTCTCAATCGCTTTTTAATAACATGCTTAAACATTGGTCATAACTATTCACCTACGTCACAATCTTTAAATTATTTACTAAAAAATCTGTTTGAGTATTATCAGCTAATTTTGCATTTAGTTTAACTAAAGAACTTCAATTTCTTTGGTTTTTTTTTTTTTTTTTTTTAATTTTCTTTTTGAAAAAAATCACTAAATTTATATCTAGCAGAAAAATTTTTTATCGACTATTTAATAATAATTTGTCTCACTGTCATTGTTAAAGTGTCCTGTTCTTCGATGTATAGTTTCTAGATTTTTAGATGTAATTTCAATTTATACATTACTTATGTTAAATAGTCAAATTGCGAATGTTCTATAAACCTAAAGCGATGTCATTACAACGCAACGAGATTAACTTATTTTAATTTTACTTGTATTTAGTATTTCTTCACCACTTTCGTTTCGCGAGAAAAGGCTTACACAGCACTTTTTCGTATTTGGCAGAATGCTTTATTGGGACAGGTAGTTAAAAGATTTTTTTTTTTTTTTTTAATGCTAAGCAGAAATAATTGCAAACTACATTTTAAATTAAAGCCTTTAGGGACTTCACAGCTCAAATTTTTATGTCGAAAGTATCAACAAAAACAAATGAGTTCTACTGATTTATTGGATGGAGAAGCAGGTTTTGTTGAGAATGATGTCGATATTTCTACTGATGTCAAATCAAACCATCTTAAAGAATTGCTCGATGTATGTATAATATTTTTCTATCTGAGTCAAAACAGGTATGTGACGTGAAATTTAAATGCTTAAGTAATAAGTGTTACATTTTATTAGAAGGCGTTAGAAATAAGTGTTTCAGACGAACTGAAAAAATATAAAATTTATGAAGTTATTTTATTTTATTTTAACTTCGCAGTCACGGTTTTTTGCAATAAAAAAAGTATATGTATTTTTTGTAAAAGAAAATTTAGTATTTGCTGTAGAAAATATTTTTGTTGCTGGTAAATTGCATTTAGATTTGAGAAAAATTAGGAAAATGAAAAAATTGTATTTATGTATAGCAGCTTTGTAAACTTCTAGCAGTTTAAAAATTAACAGTTTTAAAAAGCAACAAAATCAAACAAAACATAAATAACTTTAAAAAGCCATATAAAAATATCGCAAAACTGCTTTAGCTTTCGCGATGACTGCGTCCCGTGTGTAATGAAAACCGTTTCTATATGACGAATGATACGTCTGGCGGTTCATCGGTATTTTCTTAATTTACTATCTTTTTTATTCAGTATAAAGTATAAATTTATTTGATCTAAATCTGATTAGCTGTAAATTCTGTGGGACTTTTATTTCAAACCGCATGTTAATTCAGTTCTTAAACCGTTCACAAATCGAAATAAAATTTGTATTAAAAAAAGGGCTTATAAAAAAAGTTACTATTCAGAAATGATGGAGATTCTAGATAATTTGCTTAACAGTGGTGGATAGAAGACCCGGACCCGGAGTGGTGGATAGAAGACCCGGGTATTGATAAAATTATTAATTCTGAGAGCATTATAAAATATGAAAATGAAATTTTAGCTGTTGAATTAAGATTCTCAATACTGCATATTTTTTGAATTCAGATTTGCCTCGTCAATCACATCGAATATGGCGGATGTGTTTATTTAATGATGAAAAAAAAAAAAAAAAGAAAAAGAAAGCTATTCAAAAGAAATAAAATTAAAGAAAAAAAAAATAAAAAAGTAAAAATAAAATTGATGAATGTAAACAAATTTAAAAAAAAGCGAAACAAATATAAACAAAATTAAAAGAAAAAAAATGTTCGAAAATAGAAAATAATAAAAAAAGAACTACAGCTTATTCTACCAGCAAAAATTAATGTTATGAAAAAAAAAGACCTGTTTTTTAATTTTTAATAATTTAGTACATAGTTTATATTGTCGTGTATTTTTATTTATAAATAAATTATTTTTTTGCATTTTTCTTTGTCGATTAAACTTGCCGTTTTGTTCGCAATATGTTTGTTATTTGTGTTTTTGTTTTTTTAATTCACGTTGTTTTTCTCTATTGTTTAATAAGTGTGTGGTTTATATTTTCAATCTGTTTATATATGTTTGCATTTATTTTGCTAATTTATGTTTGTTTACATTATTGCTTTTTCTTACTCTCGTGCTTCTGAGTATAACTCACTATACGTTGTGTTATCACATACATTCATTTTTTCTCATGTCATTTCATTCTCGCTTTTTTTGTTAGTTCTTGTTTTTTAATATTGTTGTTTCTGTCTTCTTTTTTTTTTTTTTAGTTTACTATCTCTATTATTTCTGTTTTCATCTTTATTATTTTAAATTAAAATGTTTATTAAGGTGTCACTCCAATAACTAGTTTTAACTATTTGAATTACACCGAACCTTTTTTGTATTTTTAAAATTTTGTAAATTAAAATTAAATTTTTATTTTTTAATTTTATGGTTAAACAAACATGAATAAAAAAATCAACTTTTTTGTTTGTTTGATCACAAATATGTCTTACTTTATCTCTCCCCCTCCCCCCTCCCCCAAGTGTTTGATCACAAATATGTCTTAATTTATGCAGGTAAAAAAAACTGGCTATTAACTGCAATTTTCTATTTGTAATTTATTTTTGTTATATATTATTTATATCAGTGGCGTAGGAAGGTCGTGAAAGTTGGGAGGAGGAGGCTGAAAACATATTTTAAAAAAGAAAAAGTTCCTCAATTTCGTATGGTATAGCAAATTGATAAAAATTATCTATTTATCCAATTATTTATCACACGCAACGTGATTAATCGTCTTTTTAACGTGTGTAGTCATCTTTTGCCACCACACATTCATTTAAAAAATAATTAGTATGCGATAGTGTCTTAAACAGTTTTATGAATTTACTATTCCATAATGATGTTTAATTGTGATTGAGTCATTGCAGACTGGAAAATGATAATTCCGCTGTTGCTATTATAAAAGTTTTTTTAAAACTGTTCAGGAAATGGGGAGGGGGGGGCTAAATGCTGTGCTTTTTAGTCGGGAGACTATCGCTCTCTCTGGCCCCCTCCGCCCCCTGTTCCCACGCCAGCGATTTATATATATTATTAGTTCTGAGTTTTTTTAAAATAGCAGCGTTTTGGTAAAAATAAAAATATATAATAAATGAATTTTGCAAAACCTATTATCTTTTTATGTAACATAAATCTAGAACACTCATTTTACTAATTCTGACGATTACTTCTATTTTAAAGTCACTCAATTGATCAAAACTTGGTGATTCGGGTTCATATCGATTTTCGTTCTGTCTGGAGAAGGTTGAGAAATTTCAAATTTTTAAAAAATCACAGGTACAAAAAATCACGACGCATGCTTTAATTTATTTGCTTTACGCTCAAAACAATTCAAGTTATATTTTAAACATTTCTAACTTAAATGATTTGCTTTAGTTTTTTTTTTTTTTTAAACTAAAAACCGTTAAATAATAATTTTCCGAAGCTATTTATTTGTTATGATCTTATCAAATAACCGGTTATTTATTATGATATCAAATAACCAATGTTTCCGTTATATCTAATTAAAATCTATTTTTTCATATTGATAAGTTAAAAATTCAAAACTGTTTCACAATTTTTTTTAATAATATAACATTAGATCTGATTTCGTCGTAGAGGTTCACATTTTTACAATTTCATATTTTACATACAAAAATTAACCAAGATATTAAGGGGAGGGGGGGGGGGGTAAAATTTTGAAAGTTCTCGCTTTAGTTTTTTGGGCTTTGGTGTGCGTGTGTGTATATGAGCGTGCGCGTATGTGTTATCTTAATGTAAAAAAAATGATTTCCATTAAAGCCGTTATGTTTTTTGCTAGTTTTTTCTTGTATGATTAAATTACGAAAAAAAAGTTTCACAAAAATGAAATGCAAAAATAATTTTTGTTTTTAATTCTTTAGAAATAAAGCATTAGTTAGTAAACAGTTTAAAAAATAAGTTCAAAATAAAGATCAAGCGTTTTAATGACTTTATTTATTATAATTTTCTATTTGAAATTTATTGTATTTTTTTATTAAAACAACAACAATAGAAAACGTTTTATTTTGTTTTCATATTAAAATTATTATTAATATAACCTGTCCTTTAATGGTTAAAAGAAGGCAATGTTTTTTTTTTTTTTTTTTTTTTTGTAAAGCTGTATAGTTATTGTTTAATGTTTCTTTGTTTTCTATTAACAAATTGTTTTAAAAAACACCTTTGCATATAAAAAATGTTATTACTGTGATAATAAAATCTACTGAAGTTAGAGGCCCATTCATACCTAATGTTGCCAGATGTCCGGCTTTTACGAAAAAGAACACAGTAAAAAATTTAATTTTTATAGCTTTGGTACTGCATTCTCTAACGTAAAAGTCGGACATCTAGCATACTCGCACCACACGCAAATCTATTTTGATTTTTTAAATTGGTAATGTTTTTTTTAAAAAGAATTTTACTTTAAATTTTTTGTTAAATTCTTTCCGGGAAACGACGGTCAATCTAAATTTTTGAGTAGTTTTTTCCGACTAAATTTTGATTGAAAAGAAAGTATATAGTTTCTTACAATTAATGCTTCTAATCTTCTATTCTAATAACTTAACATTTCATTTTAAATTTTATCGCTAAAAATTGCCGGTTAAAAAACTTTTTAATCGTATTTAGTTTTAAATGTTAGAAATTATATTAATATTGTCTATACCAAAAAAAAATTCTTTTTCTTTTTTTATGATAACTTGATAATAAATTTACTTTTAAAAAAATTTTAAAAGTAAATTTATTATCAAGTTATCATAAAAAAAGAAAAATAATTTTTTTTTGGTATAGACAATATTATACCAAAAAAAAATTCTTTTTCTTTTTTTATGATAACTTGATAATAATTTTACTTTTAAAATTTTTTTCTATTTATTTAAAGAAGAAACAGATCTTTAAAGCCATTTTTTGCTGATTTCTGCCTAAGTAATAAATTATCTTGGAAGTTTTTTTATGCAAAAAAAAGTATTTAATTTGTTTTAAAAAAATGAATAATAAAAATTCTTTTGACGCGTTACGATAACAATAAAACTTGCTAAAACTGAATTAAACAAACAAAACAAAGCCGCTAAATTATTAAACAACAATTTGAAAAGGACATAAATTATATAAGCGAAGTGATTGTTTAAACAATGTTGCATTAAAATCTCATTCACATTATACAAAGGTAATTACAAAAGTCTAAATTTATAAAAAGATTATTTTAAAATATTATTACTTTTTAAATTTTTACAGTTTTTAATTTAATAAAGATTTCAAGTATCGGCAAGGAAGTAACGTTGAATATAGTGTGTCATAATTCCTACGATATGCCTTCCTATTTTTGAGTAGATTTTAATTAATATTTAAGTTTTAAAATGTACTCTCGTTTTGGTTCAATAACGTATTTGAAATGATGATGTTTGCAGCAGTTGATGGTGAAGTAAATTGTTGATATTTATTATAAGTTACAATAACTATAAATTAAGAAATTTTTTATAATTTAAATAATTTTTGACTTTTTATTTTTAAATATTATAGTTTAAAAAAATAATTTTGAAAATACTCTTAACCAAAGTTTTGATGTTTTTAAAAATTTTATAAAAGAAAAAAAACTTTCACATATTTTATATATTTATATATCTGGGGGTAGTGATATTCTCTTATTTAAAAATCTCACTCACTGGATATGTCGTTTTTTGTTAAAATTGTTTATCCCATTGCAAAGTTAAAAGATACAAAGATTTTTTGATGAAGATTTAGAGGTTTTGATATTTATGCTTGTTTTCATTTCTTTTACAACATTTTTGGTTTGAAAAGAGGTTTTATTTTACAAAACAATTAAAATAAAAGTCAAATTTAAAAAAACAAACAAAAAAAAATATTTAAAAATAGGTTTAACGAAGGGAGCAATAATTTTTAAAAGCTGTGCTATGTTATATTATACATAAATGTTTATTCTGATTATTTATTTTTATTATTTATATTTATTATACATAGAAGTTTATTATTATTAAGTGTGCATGAATTTTTTTATATGAAGGTTTGCAAATTGTTGAAGTAAATTTACATTGTATTGGTGACTAGTTTTGATACAATCATTTTCAATTTAGCTAAATAAAAAATGTCACCTTTTTTATTTCTCTTTTTTTTTAACTATTGATTAAAATCATTTCTAGTTTAAAAACATCAAAAATAAATAAAATAATTTTTATATTTTTAAATTCATAATTATATATTTTTTTAATTTCATTTTAAACATTATTTTAAGTATAAACAAAATTTTTTAGGATGGTTTAAAACATGGTAAAACTTCTAAAATACCAGATAGCTACATTAAAGATGGTGTTGTTGAAATGCCAAGACCAGAATTTCATCCAGTATTGCATAATTCTTCTTTGCCTCTTTTAAATAACTCAATATTAAGCAATAATAGTGATAAAGTATTGGACAAGGAGGAAAATGTTCAAAATGGCTTTGCAAAAAATAAAACACATGACTTTCTAAATTTTAATAAAAAGAAAAAGAAAAAACATCGTAACAGTCTACCATCTTATAGTATAAAGTCTCCTATTCTAGACCAAGGAGAGGTTTCTTCAACTGATTTTGGGGATGAAACTGATGAAGATGCAAAGATTGAAGACTTAAGTAAAGAAAAACTTTTATCATTTTTAAATATGAAAATAGAATTTAAACATTTTTATATTTACATTTTTAATATTTCAATTTTTTAGATGTACCATGTCCTTGTCATAATTCTCATGTTGGAAAAGAGTTTGCCAATGAAGTATTCTTATTTATTTTTTTTATAAGAAAAAAAAATATATATATTTTTATTAGAATTTTATTTTCTACCAAAATCTTACTCATAATTTTCAGGAATTTGATTTTGATGTGGACGCTCTCTTTGATCATTTGTTTTCTCAAGATTCTGACACAATGAAAGAAATTTTTGAACAAAGAAATTTTCAAGGTTTTATTTATGCAATGTTTTTTTTTCTTCTATTAAAGTTTTTTTTTTTTTTTTTTTTTTTTACCTTTGTTCCTCCAAGCTACGAATGTAAAAATGTTAATAAAAAATGCTTTGAAAAGTTTAATAATCAATTTAATTTCTCCTGATTCAAATAATATTTGCTAAAAAAACTCTATACTTAAAGTCAGACAAGTAAGACCCTGAGGTATTTGGTTGATTTATGAAAAATTCTTTTTAGATGATGGTTGTGTAATTATATGTTTCAAATATTAATTACAGATATATAACATTTATTAAAAAGTCCCTAAATATTTAGTTTGAGTTTTAGAAATTTTTTGTTAAGTTAAATAACTTTAATTATAATTTTAGACTGGAAATATACTCCATTAACAGAGGAAAATGGTGTAAAAACCCAAACTTTAACCTATACAGTTCCATTAAATTACAGTATTGGACCAAAACAATCTATAACAGAATCCAAACAGGTAACACATACTTTATGTTATTTGTTTTTTCTTTTTGTCTATGTTTTAATTTCTATAACAGTACAATTTTATTTTTTGATAGACTTTTTCTAAAGAAAACAAAAGTGGATCTTTTTATGTGGTTGATGTCTTGGTTTGTTTGTTTTTATTCTAAAGAAATTTATTATCTTTATTATATAAGCAGTTTTTTACAGAATTCTTATAGTAATATTTAATAAATTGTCTTTCAATATACAAATATTTTTTAAAATTAATATTACACTTTAGCATACGAAATTCATAAGTGTTTTATAAATCAAATATAGAAAATGTGCTTACATTCTTAGTTTTCTTTAGAGCACCAGCTTTGGGGTTCCTTATTCTGATAGCTTCAACATTGTCACAAGATATTGTTTAACTAGAGCAATAGGAAATAGATCTCGCCTTCAGTAAAAATATTTTTTTTTTCTTTTTAATTCCATCATAGGTATATGCATTAAAACATTCTGTTTTATTTTAATGCGCATACCTTAGATGGAGTTCAAAAACATACTGCTTAAACATTGCAGACAAATATGTCATTTACTCATTACTTTGACGACATTTAGACAATTTTTTTTTTCAACTAACATTTGATAAAGACTAATGTTTATATTTTTGTTTATTTTGCATTTACTTCTTTATATATATATTTTTTCTTTTTTGTTTTACTTTTTTTACTAGAATTTATGGTGAAATTCTGTACTCAAAAAAAGTGTTTGGACTAGTAAAAAGTAAGTAATTATATATTTAAAGATAAATGTTGTAAAGTTTTATTAATGTACAGCGAGAAATTTTTTTACTGTATTATGTTTCTTATTTTAAAAACTTTCGAATTGCAGTTGAGTGTACAGTTGAGTTTTTGAGAGAAAGTGCTGGCTAAACTGAGAATACTGCCTTCATATATTTTAATCTACAATTAAGAAATTTAATTTCTTAATTTGATAAATATTACAAAACAATTTTACAATCTTTCAAATTAAATTTTACATTCAACGTTTTACTAACTATTTCCTTCAAAACAATTTTAATATTTTTAAAATCATATTTAATTCATAATCTTCTAAAAAAATTTCTTTAAATTAGTCACAATTGCAGTTAAATTTTTTTTTACCACTTAATATTTTCTGAATAAACGATTTCTGAACGTCACATAAACAATATTAAATGATATTTAAATATTCTAAAATAATAAAGTTTTTGCTTAAGGTAAAACTGCTGAACACATATGTAAAGTGCCATTTCCTACATAAAATGTGAGCTGCGTAATGCTTCTTAATGAAGCCTGTCTTCATCATTTTGACAAATTTTTAGCATGTAATGTTGACAATCATATTTGGGTACTTATGGACACTTTGGGTTAGTTTGCCCCAAGTTTGCCCCACTGTGCAATACTAAAAACTTAATAATCTCAAGCATAAATCAACGCTTTAAAACGAGCCTCTAAAACTATAACAAAAGGCATTGGATTAACACTAAAACATCAACCCAACTATACTATTTCTCTTGGCCCTCTGTCAAAAGCTATTTTAAGGCCTTCAAATGCTGTCCACTGATCTTTTTTCTTTTCCAATAGTTTTTATTGAAAAACTTTGAAATAATAAATACTGCTTTATAATAATAAATATTCTTTTGTCTAAAACCATACTGAATGTTATTGTTAAATTTGCTGCTTTCTTTTTTGTTGGTAATTTAAAATTTATTTCATAATTTATTTCAAAATTTATTTCATAGTTTATTTCAAAATTTATTTCATAATTTATTTCAAAATTTCATTATCTGGTTATATAATTTAATTTCTCGATATGAGTCACATTCTGCATCTCTGCATCCTTTATAAATTTTTATCATCCTTTTATCTTTGGTGCCATTACATAGCTAAGATCTGATACCTCCTGAACACTCATATCCCCTGAAGCTTTCAGCATTTCAGCTAAAACACCAGAAGAACCTCCAGTCTAACTAAATCCTCTAAAGTAGTTGATTTTACTTCTTGAGAGATTTTCAGTTCTGTTAGTCCGCTAACCATATTCACTGCAGATAAACCTTTTTAGCTCTAACCAAATTGTTCATTTAACCATAGGATAATTAAATCACATATTTTGCAAATTTTAAAACTTATATATATATATATATATATATATATATATATATATATATATATATATATATATATATATATATATATATATATATATATATATATATATATATATATATATATATATATATATATTCCCTTACAATTCCAATTGCACATATAAGAATTTTAAGCTTTCCATTATTAAAATTTTTTTTGAGAATAAGAATAGTAAGTTGTTAATGAATAATAAGTGTGCAAAATTGATGGTACACTTAACATGTATTTTGTTAGATATGATTACTCGTACGACTGAAGATGCATTAAAAGATTATTATCTGTGTCTTTGTAAGTTTTTTTATTCTCTCTCTTCTTTTTTATTTTTATTTTTGTTTAAGTTAAAATGCTATTAATTTTTCCTGAAGTGTTATGGAAGGTATATATATATACATATATATATATATATATATATATATATATATATATATATATATATATATATATATATATATATATATATATATATATATATATATATATATATATATATATATATATACACACACACACATATATATATATATATATATATATATATACACACACACACATATATATATATATATATATATATATATATATATATATATATATATATATGTATGTATGTATGTATGTATGTATGTATATATACACACACTATTTGGTATTCGATCAAATATTGCAAACTATTTGGCCAAATAGCAGATTGTAACAAAAAAAAAGTGCATAAAAAAGGATTAATATATTTATTTTTTGTTTTAATAAATAGCATATTTGATACTTAAAAAATAATGTAGGTAGTTGTTTTGCTAAAGATCAAATTTTGCTTATTATTTGTTCAAAATTTTAATTTATTCAAATTATATTATTATTAAATACTTTAAAAAAGTTTTAAAAGTTAAAATACTTTGTTAAATACCAACTATTAAGTTAGATATCATTTATTAGTGTGTTATATGTTTATAGTGCAATCTTTAAGAAGTGAATCCAGAATTTCTCCAAATAAAGGAAACAAGGTTTCAATTAGTAAATTAAGAAAAGAATCTTTTAAATCTAGTCAATCTACAGAAAAGTTTAGTAAACATGCTAACATTGTCCTGCAGAAACAAAGTAAGTTATTTTATTTTATTTTATTTCATTATGTGCTTGTGTTATAAAAAGTAAATAGTTATAATCAGTTGAATAATATAAAACAATTTTTAAAATTTAAAAAAAAGTTTCATAAAACAATTTTTATCATATAATAAATTGCCATAAAGCTTGTTAAAATTTTGAATTTTTAGTAGAAAAACCATAGTTTTTAAACACTAATTCTAAAATAAAAATTTATATATAAAACGCTTATTATTTTAGCTTTTTTTTTTTGTTTAATTTCGCTTCTTTTAAATATTAGGTCGACCTACTTTTGATAGACTTTTTTCCCCAAAATATTAGGCACCCATTAAATAATAAATGGTCTAGCAGCATCCCAAAATTAAAATTTTTTAAACTCTGTATTATTTCATTGTATAAAACTCATTTAGGGGGTTCCAGTACACATTTTTTAAAAATGTTGTTTTTTAAGGTCACCCTAGTGTTTATTTCAAACATGTGTTGTTTTAGAAAAATATTGGACGATCTATTTACTATTATTTTATCTTAAAATTTTAAAGCAATAAACAATTAAAAAAGTAACATTTAGTTTCTAAAAATAGTTTTTATTTTAATAAATTTATTAAGTTTAATTTTATTAAATTAAACTAATAATTTTAAATTTAACTCTTTCATACTTTTTCTTTCTCTAGCTTCCAGGGCAAAAGCACCAGATTTGAATTTGAGTCATAAAGAACTTATTGTGTGAGTATTTTGATTATGTATTTGATTACATATAGTAACAACAGGTATTTGTTTTATGTCGTAAAGCGTTATAATGAGCATATCTCCCTTTTCCCTTTCAATGAAATTTTATTCTGTTAGAGTATTGCTACAGAAGATAATATGCGTATAAATATTTCTATGGAGTTTTATGAATTATATTTGCTATATGTTGTTGCTTTTTTTTATTCTTAGAAATAATCCTCGACATGTTATTGTCTACTCATTTATGTAAGCATTAAATATCTTTAATGTAGATAAATAAAAAGTTTAATGTAGATAAATAAAAAGTTTATTAAATGTTTATAAAGTTTTACTGATGAAACAGTAAGCTTTTCTCTTTTTTTGACAAAAATTTATTCCTTATTATTGCTTTAATATTTAGCTTTATTTTTATCCTTGGTCTCAATATTTATTTACTGGTGCGTATGCGAAGTCTAGAAAATCTCATACTTGTTGAAAGACCACTATTTGCAGATGGGTAAGTTTTTATTAATAACTTTACACATTCTAATTTTCCGCTCTATGTATTTCTTACTTAAAATTATAATGATTTTGTTGAGACAATCTTAGTCTAAGTTGATAAACAATCAGTGAAAAAAATGTCAGTTAATTATGTATTTACATATGAAAGGGTATGAGATAGTCAAAAAGTTGGAACTGCAATTCTAATTTTTGTAGTAAACTACAAAAATTAGAATTGGAACTACAAAACTACAAAAAATTAAAGTTGGAACTCCGATTCTAATTTTGAAACATGATACATTTTTGAAGAATTTTTTTTTTATAATATTAGAGACTCGTTAAATGTTCAAGGGTCATGAGGGAACCCTTAAAAATATTTTTTATTCAAAATTTTTTAAATCCAGTATTTTTTTATCATATAGAACACATTAAAGGGGTTGCAGCATATATTTTTCAAAAATTTTGTTTTTTGGGACATCCTAAGGCTTCATCACAGGATATTTTTTGGTAGTAGGGCAGGGCCGACAGTGCCGTTTTTGGCGTTAGAAATACCTAACTTCCAGACATTGTGCAAACTCCAAACATTTATATGTTTATACTTATGTCAAGTCAAGATGTTTTTGCAAAAAAATGCGATGATTGGAGCCTGGTAACAAAAAAAACCCCTCAACTTGTGCTCCCCCCCTGCCCCAAACGTGAGAGCAACCATTTGATAAAATATTTTATGTACGATTCTTAACTAGACTTATTTTAATCGATAAATTTTAAGTTTTATAGTATAATCTCTTAGCGTTCAAAAATTATGTCAATTTAAATTTGTAACTCCCTCAAATTTAGGGGGGTTAAAGCTTTATATTGTCATATTTTTTGAACGCTAAAATATTTTACTATGAAATTTAAAAATTATCGAATAATATTAGTCTAGTTAAGAATAGTACAAAAAATATTTTATCAACTCGTTGCTCTCACGTTTGGGGTAGGGGGGGGTACAAGTTAAGGGTTTTTTTGTTGCCAGGCTCCAATCATCGCATTTTTTTGCAAAAACATCCTTATTTGACATAAGTATAAACATATAAATGTTTGGAGTTTGCACAATGTCTGGAAGTTAGCTATTTCTAACGCCAAATAACGGCACCGTCGGCCTTGTAGGGTGATCTTGTCAGGAGATTGAATATTTTGTTAAATAAATCTTCAATTTTTTTTTAAGTTTACCAATTAGTTAATAAACAAAACTTTTGAAATTTTTAATTTAAAAAACAGTATATAACTTTAAAATTTTTAAATAAATAGAAGATTCCAATAGCTTTTCAAATTGTTCAATTATATTATTTCATTGTATGGTTTTGACTGGTCACTAAATTTTTAATTCTTTAGAATCTTTTAGTTTAATTTGCAGCTTTTTGAAGATTTTATTTTCAGTAAAGCTCCTGTTACTCTGGAGGATTGGGAAAAACTGTTGCAATATCAAAAAAACTTACAGACGTCACAATTAGCTAGGTTTTATTTATAAGCTTTATTTATTTTTATTTAAGTTTCAGCAATTGTTGCTTGTTTTTCATACTTTCATTTATTTCATATCATTACACACGCCCTATATCTTTACAAGTTTTTAAGAAAGTAGTGCGAAATAGTCACAACTGTGTCAAGTATTCAGCTCATATTATTTTAGTCTCAAGTATTCAGCTCATATTATTTTAGTCTCGATTATTCAGCTCATTATTTTAGTCTCGATTATTCAGCTCATTATTTTAGTCTCAAGTATTCAGCTCATAAATTTTAGCTAAAGTATTCAACTCATATTATTTTAGTATTAAGTATTCAACTCATATTATTTTAGTCTCAAGTATTCAACTCATATTATTTTTGTCTAATTGTTTTGATTTTTGCTTTTTTACAGATTCCACGACTTTGTTGATAAAACCTTGAGTTTGGTACAACAGGTGCAGATTTTGAACTTTTTAATTTAAACTTTATATATTTGCATAGATAAATGAAAATGACTTTTGTGTTTCTAAATAATATGAAAATCGCTTTCGTTCTTCTAAACAAAATACATGTTAAACTATAATCAAATATGTATTGAAAATTTCTAGGTTGAAAATTCAATGTTAGCGATGCAAAAAGAATTGCACTTATACGAAAATAACTTTGAAGCTTCTGGAAATTGATTTATGAACGGAATAATTTCTGTAAAGTTGTATAAATATATTCTATAAAGTTATATAAATAGTGCAAAGGAAGATAATTTTATGTATTAAAAGGTACCTATCCCTCCAAGATGCTGTATAACTTGGTCTTTGCAATAGTTGTTTCAAATGCCGGCGTTTGAACCAAAATGATTAATTATTTTATTCTGAATAGATTTATTTGTTACAAATATAATACGACGTATTTTTTTTTTTTAATTTTTTTTTCTCGTTCAGTTTGGGTTTTTTTTTTTATATATAGTTTTGTTATTAAAAATAGATTCGTATAAATAAATGTTAACTGCATCATGCAAACGTATTTTTTTTTGTTTTGTTTTGTTTTGTTGCAGTTCATCATCTAAAATAAAATTCTTTTAACTGAAATTTTATATTTAATTTGTATATTTATATAAATTGTTAAAGTTTTTAGTTGTAGTTTTAAAGATTGTCATATTTTTATTAAGTAAAAAACTATTTGTAAACAAGGTTTAAAAAAACATATTTATTTAAATCTAATGCGTATTATTTTTAGTTGATCTTTCGTTATGTAACTTTTTTTCCGCATTTTGAAAAGTTCCATTATTGTTTTTAGAATGTTGCATTCTAAACGAAAGTTATATGGAACTATAATTTTCTTGCTTTACTTTTCAGCGCGAGCCAATAACTCTGGTAGTAATAGTAATATTTATTGCTGTAACACTTACATTTTTCTATTTATGATAAAGTATTTAAAAATAAAATAAATTATAAAACGCGGTGCAAGCATCGTGTTGTAGACAGCTCACACAATTTAAAACACAAGTTATCAAAAATATTTATCTATTGGCGCTTTGAAAACATTCAACGATCTTCCTTCTATGATTTCATTTGGTAACAAATTCCAATATTACAAATCGGTTATTGTTGAAATTGTATCTCGTTAAACATGACGTATTCTCTTTCTAACCTGTATTTGTTGCCCCGAACCGAAGAAGCCTGTCCTGAACGAAACAAGCATGGTGCCGATTGTGGATTTTTGTACCAACTCATTTAGTCAGTATTTTGCTTGAATCTGTATTGCTGTATAAGATCTCTTCTTGCTGTTATTTTGTCCAATGTTGTTAAACCCATTGCTTTTAGTCTTTTTCATATGAAATCTTTTTAAGGTGTGGAACTACTTAACTAGCTAACTTTGTTGTTCTTCTTAGCACTTTCTTTAACTCATCAATATCCCGTGGTAACATCAATATCTCGTGGCTTACATGCTGGTAATACCGTCGATGAAGTCACTTGATCATGCCATTTGATCGGATGAAATAATCACGCCTAAAACTCTTTCAATTACTGTTGTATCTAATTATGCTCTTCGCCGTCATGGGTCATACTATAACTCATTTGTGGATTCTTTTTACCTACATGCACCTCTTTACACTTTTCAACGTTCAACTTGGTTAAACAGATATCCGTTCATTTTACAAACTGGTTGACGTCATTCTGTAAAGACTTGTGATCTTGAATATTTTTTACAACTTTGATTAGTTTAGTGTCATCTGCGTATAATTTGCAATTCAAATTAACAATTAATGGTAAATCGTTTACAAATATCAAGAATAACAACGGATCAAGCACAGAGTTCTGGGGCACACCACTAAAAGTCTCTAGCCGCGGTAAACCATTACAGCTCTTTGCCTTCTTTCGTTTAAAAAAGATCACATCCTGTTAAGTAGTGCACCCTTGATATAATAAACTTCGAACATCTACCGCTACACCTTTACTCATGCACCCTTGATATAATAAACTTCGAACATTTTCAACAGTCGTTTATGTGAAATTTTATCAAAGGCTTTGACAAAATCCAAATAAATCATATCTACCGCTACACCTTTACTCATGCTTGCTGTTAAAATGTCTAATACTTCTAATAAATTTGTTACATAGGCTTTATTTTTTACAAAGTCATGTTGATTTTTTGACAATAGTTTATTTTCCGAGAGATGAGTCATTATTTTTTATCTTATAAATGCTTCCATAACTTTGCATGTTATAGATGTTAATGATACGGGTCTATAGTTGAGCGGTTCTGTTGTATTTCCATTCTTAAATATTGGCGTGATATTTGTTTCTATTCATTTGCTAAGAATATCTCCTGTTTCAATTGATTTTCGGTAAATTAAAGCTAATGGGGTTGCGAAACTACTTGAACAATTTTTAAGTACGTAAAGACTAATACCATCACTAGCTTTGTTGACATCAAGAAAATCCAGTTTTTGCTGAACTGTCTCATTTGTAAAAACATTAAGCCAATCTCATTCAAAAAAATTTTGTAATGCGTGGTTCAAACTCCATGCTCTTTTACAAAAACTGATTGAAAACTTTTGTTCTATTTATTAACAATTTCATGCTGTAAGATGTGAGTACCTTTGCGTTTTTTTTAATTGATAGTACCTTACCGATACTATTTTGTTTTTTATTTACATATTTCTAGAATCATCTCGGATTTTTTTTGCATTATTTATAAGCTTTTTCTCATAATCAATAGAGGATTCTTTTCACTTGCTTTTGGCTAACTTTGTTACCGTTTTGTATTCGTTTAATATATTCAGATATTTGAATTTGGCTCTTAATTTGGCGCCATAAATTTTTCTTTTTTACGTATTAAAGCTTTGACTTCGACTGGGTCTTTTTTAACTTTTTGATTTTACTTTTTTCTTTGGAATATTTAGTTCACTCAACTCATTATATTTTTTGTATGAAAGTAATGTAGCAATCTTCGTTTAAATACTTGAACAATTTATACTAATTAATTAAATTAAAACCAAGTTTTTTTTTCATAGTCTCCTTTTTGGTAATTTATATCATTACTATTGAATTGTGTAGCGATTGTTTTAAAACCTTGAATATCATAGTTGAATTGAATTACATTGTGTGCTTTTTCAATTGGTCCAAGCGGTGCGCCTATTTCAACGTCACTAATCCTTTTACAGTTATCTGTTATTAGTAAATCAAGTGTGTTTATTGGTTCATGGTCGGTTATTTGGAATGTTGGTTTAAATTTATATTTTTCAATATTGTTTTCATTTAAACTATCAATAAATTCTAATTTTTTCAAAATAATAAATATACAAGAATAAATACTAAATTACTAATTTCACAATTTTGTTTCCACCGTCTTCGTGCCATTTTATGTGTAGATAATTGAAATCACCAGTTATAATTATTCCAGTATTTTTTTTGGTCTTCTAAATTTTTGGTTGTTCCAAGCACTGAATTGATTTTAGTGTTTACACTTTCTGGACTACTTGGTGGTCTGTAAATACATTCAATTAATAAATGTTCTGGTCCAGTGATCAAACTACACCATATCTGCTTTATTCCTTGTTGTGAAAAAGTTTGATTTTTCATAAGTTACTACTCCGCCACCATTTTTGCCATACGCTTTGTTTTTGTTGTAGCAGTTGTACCCATCAATGTTCATAACAAGTTTATCATTGAATCATGTTTCTTTCACTAATATAATATCTGTTCTTTCAAGACTAGGTATCGATTTTGATAAACCATTAGACAATTTAACTGGTGCCTCTCAAAGCGAATCACTAGACGTACTCCCTAATATATCAGTTGGTATACCATCTGAGATGGCCATTGACATATCAACACCAACCAAGGACTCATCTGATCTGTCTTTTGGTGTATCATTTGAAGTATTACTTGGTTTACCAATTGAAAACTATTTAAATTTTTATTTGCTAATTTGATTTATCTCCGTTTCGGTGAACGATTTAATGTGACATTTGAATTAAATGTTTTTGAATTGAGCGTTTTAGATTTATTTTTAATTTTTGTTTTTAATTTTTAATATTGCTCAGAAAAAACTTTCGTAATGTTGTTATTTCGAATCCAATAATGATAGTCATTTTTTTTTTTTTAATTTCTAGATTTTTGTTTAGTCAATTTCTTACTTCAATCATTTGTTTTTGGAGTTCTCGTTATTTCATTGTTAAATCAAAATTTACATAAATATTTCTATAAGCTTCCGTGTTTCTTAATTTTTTTACTGATTTAGTTACTGCAAGACTGTCGTTCTTACCTTGTAATTCAACTAAGATGGGACCTGGATGATTGAAACTTGAGTTACTTTTAAATAGTTCGGTGATTGAGAATGAGTTACGTTTAAATTACGTTTAAATAATTTGGAAATTCTTGACTTATCGAAGCCAATAGTCTAATAACCTAGTCAATAATCTAAAATCTCTTTTATAATACGTTTATCGTTTACTTGTTTTTCAGCTACTGTCGGTTTTTTTTAATTCTTCTACACCAAAAACTCTTCTCCTCTTTTCTTTTTATGTCCTCTTGTTCGACAAGCACTTATAACGTCTATAACGTCTAAAGCAATTTACAGAACTTATAACGTCTGTTGCTGGAGCATTTGGCCTGTTTTTTATCTTGAATAAATTACTAAATAATTTTGACGAATCAGTTGTTGGATTTTTTTCAAAGTCTTGAATTTGTTGTTTTAGTTCCTGATTTTCATTTAGTACGTTGTTTAATTTGTCTTCAAGTTCTTTCATTCTGTCAACTTGCTGCTTTTCCATCTCTTCAAAACATTTGATAAACTGATCGAATTCACCTTTCCGTGTGTTTGCAATTAAAAAAAAAAATTTGATATTGTTTTATTAAATTTCTTTTTTTCTTTGATAATTCCAAAAATGATTAAATAAAATAATATTTCAAAAATTTAAAAATACTAAAACTTAAAAATACTACAATTTATCTTCTTTAAATTATTAGGCTTGCAAAAACACGTCTCATCATAAAGAAATCATGCGGCAAAAAAAAAAAAAAAATTCACTCTGATGCAAAACATAGAAAATTCAAAATTTTTCTCAGAGTTATTTCACTTTCTCGGTTTATAAACAATTTATTGGCTCTCAGATGATATTGTGTTACATATTTAAAAGTAATACAAACTGTTTAAGTCATTTTATTTATGATTTTTGATAAATCGAGACATCAAATCAAGCTCGTTTATTTACCCTACTCCGTTTGACTGATTTTTACATCAGTCAAACAGAGTATTGTCATATCTTCATTAGCATGGAGTAGCATGACATTATTGAGGATACCCATATATATATATATATATATATATATATATATATATATATATATATATATATATATATATATATATATATATATATATATATATATATATATATATATATATATATATATATATATATATAGATTCTACACCATTATACATACATAATATGTATAAGAAGCAGCCCATGCCATGTCTTTGAATCTACCATGTTTTGCAAGCTTATCGGTGTATTTTTGCTGGAATTCTGTATATATATTATTTTCTGTAACTGAATGTTTCTTGAGCCTGTACCTTGATAAGGAACAACCCTAGCTAAAAAGTCCTTTAGGACCTATAGGATTTTGGAACAATAAAAAAAAGACAAAACTTTCATAACTATAAACACTTTTTAACACATGTATTTTAATTTAATGGGGTTCAAATCTAAAACTTTTTTTGTTCCAAATTCTTATAATATCATATAGGACTTTTTGACTAGCGATTTTTAATTTACCGGCCCACAATATATTGCGCCATTTTATGATAAGCCACTTCAAATGTCAATTGGCAAACTGCAAACATTTTTAACCATATGTTTTTTTTGTCAACAAAGAGACTTTTCTTGAAATGTGTGCATTCAAACTGTTCTCTCTTATGCGCCTACATACAGTAGTGTTGTTCATATTTAATTTAAGACCATTTTAGACATGCTTGACCGATAAAAATGGTTTCCTTTAGTAAATCTAACAATTCTTCGGTCTTGCTGCGCAGTAGCATTACGTTTTCAACCTCATTTTTCAACTCTTGGTTTATAATTAATGGCAATTAAAATCATCTTTACTGAAAATCTGAGAATATTTTGAATGTATGGTTTGCTCTCTATGATGCTTCAAAATAACGTTGCATTCTGCTAATGCACAATGGCGTCCCCAGCCCACTTTGAAAGGATTAGAAAACATTTTTACCATTGAACGTGCACAAATAAATAAAGGGTATATTAAATATTCCTATGAAAATACAAAAATCCCTTTAAATTTTTTAAATTGACTTGAATTTTATCAAAAACAACGGTGTTCTTGAATTATTGAATTCTCATTCGCTCAATTTATTTATCTCATTCTAATACATACACATGAAAAATTAGTGTTTTTATAATTTACAGAATGCAAATAATAATCAAGATATGAATAATTTTTTAGTACTGCTCATGCTCACAGCTGCATGTTCTAATTTTTTTAGACAATAATACTTACTAACTTAATAAAGTATTAAGGTAATTCGGGGAAAATAAGGCTAATTTCTTTATTCCTCTCTGGAGACTGTTTTAGTGATTGTCTTAGATTATTGTATAGGATTTGTTAGTTTTTAATAGTTTTTGGATTTATTTGCCTAGCTAACCCAGTGGGCATGCGTTGTCCGGGCAACGTCCGTCGACGTCTTACGGACGTCTGGACGTCCGTGAGTCGTCTAATGGACGTGAGTCGTCTAATGGGAAGCACACGTGTTTTTTTTGAAATTTTAATATGTTTGATGACAAAATAACTAGTTTTATAGTGACTAAGTGAAGCGATTATATTTTTCAACGCGTTTCTTAGCAAAAACATGATCGATGCATATTTTAGTCTTGATAAATACTTATAAGTACCAGTTTTTGATGATTTTTTTTTTGAAAATTTTCAATTTTAAAAAAAAAATCATCAAAAACTGGTATTTTGAAAGTTTATTATTCATTTATCAAAAAGAAAAATTAACTTAGTTTGATTTATTAAATTTAAACTTTGTTTTATGAAACATGATCTTTGTGGGAAAGATAAATTTTCATAAAGTTTAATTTATGGGTTAGCCAAATATATTAAGCTATTTTTATAAATTATAGTTAATAAATTTTATAATTAAAAATAATTGTTTTAAGTTTTTTTTTTATTATATTATCGCGTAATATTGCTGTCTCGTTTTACCCCGAAAAGGGGGAAACATGACACTATTTTAAAAATTAGTTGTTTCTATTTTTAAAGTCCTCCGTAAATCCAATTAAAAACGATTTGAATTATTTACTCGAATAAATTTATTTTATTTGTAATAAATTACTTAATATTTGAAAAGAGTAACTCTTACTAGGCTTAATTATACCCTACGGGCATTTGTTCTTAAAAGTTACGTTCTATATGTCTTTTAAATGTTTCTTAAAGGTCTTTTAAACGTTCTTTACGTCAGAATATTTAGAAGACGTTTAAAAGACATTTAAAATACATTTAGAACGTAACTTATAAAAACAAATGCCCGTAGGGTACACTTGTTTAATTTTTCGCGCTATTCCAGGTCTTTGTAATTAATTTTTAATCCTTAAGTGTCTCGCACAACCTATAATTACCCTAATTATATGTTTTCTTTTTCTAATATGTGATTTTTTGTCATTTTTTAAAATTTGAAAAAATGACAAAAAATCACATTATTTGACTTTTAAAAGCCAAATAAAAATTTATTATGAATAGAATATTTGGCAATAGAATAAGAGGATGTCGCCTAAGCTCTTAGAATCGTTCGGCTTTATAAGGTTAGCCATGTTTGTGTTTAGCTTCATAGAAGATATATTGTTTGAAACAAAGCCTTTAAATATTTTTAAACTTAAAGTTTTGTAAGAAAACCAAAGATTATATTTTTTTACAAGCGGTTAGTTAATAACTACTTGAGAATTTTTTAGTAATTGTTACTCACTCGAATTCTTTTATTTTTAATTATTTGTTAAAATTTCATCGTCAATTTTTATGTAAAAAATAAAAACTAAAATATAAATTAACTATTGATTTGTAAAGGCATTCGAATTTTAATTATTAAATATTTAACGTTTGCTTCACGCATAAAAATGTTTTAGAAATATTTTAAACAAACACTCATCCTCACTAAAAAGCTTTTATGTATTAAAAAAATTACAAACACAAAATTCAAATGTAAGTTAAGTGTGGATGTCCATTTTTTATTTTTCTGACGATAAAACTTTCTGTTGGAAATCATGTATATTTTACTCGCTTATTTCCAGAGTATGAGTAAAACTTGCTCTTGTGAGTTGTTTTTCATTTATGCTTCAGCAAGCATGCATCTAAACAAAAAAATCCAAATCAGTTCATCAATTCACGAGGGTTGCAAAAAGATATATACAACAAAAAAAGATGATTATATAAAAGAAAATAAATGTATTCTCAACATATGACCTATAGAAGTCAACTTTAATATATTAATATGATATGAAACTAACAATTTGACTATGTTGTCATTGATCCTACCTTCTTTTTTATATGTTTTTGGATTATATTACGGAAAAATATACGCAAACTATGTATTTATATTTGCACTTTCAATAAGTTACTGCAATGGAAATCAAGGCAGTGTATATACTGACGATATTTTTGAAGCAGGCAAATTTTTAAAAAATTTTGATGTTGTTGCTGATGAACTGTTAACAAAAAATGGACTTGCAAACTGGCAATATGAAACTGACCTTACGGAAGACAATCTTCAAAAAACAGTTGATATTGGCTTAGAACTGAGTGATTTTTTTTTAAGTAGCAGTCAAAATGCAAGTAAATTGAAAGTTTTAGATCTGCCTCAACAAATGCAGCGTCAAATCATGTTAATCAGACGAAGCGCAGATCCAACATCGGAAGACATGAGAAGAGAAATTAAAGAAACAATAGGACAAATGACTAGCATATTTAGTAAAGCTAAAGTCAAAAAAGATTCTGTCGAGTATTCATTAGAAAACTTAACGGAAATAATGAGAACTTCGAGAAACAAGAAAAAGTTAGATTGGGCTTGGAGAAGTTGGAGAGATACGGTTGGTCCGCCAATTAAATCTTTATATACGAATATGATTGATTTGCTAAATATTGGAGCTCGAGAGCATGGATGGATAGATTATGGCGACTTCTTAAGAACTGATTATGAGATGGGTGACGATTTTGAAATTAGTCTTGATATGGTTTGGTCAAAAATAAAACCTCTTTACGAAGAGCTACATGCCTATGTAAGGTATATGTTGACGAAGAAAAAAATAATAAAAGTCGCAAAAGACGGTTGCATACCAGCAAGCGTCCTAGGAGATATGTTTGCTCAGAACTGGGAAAACATTTTTGATCTCGTAAAACCTAGTAAAACTTCGAAAGTGTTTGATGTAACAAAAACTCTAAAAGAAAAAAATTACACCGTACAAAAAATGTTTACTTTAGCCGAAGATTTCTTTATTTCGTTAGGCTTGTATAAGATGCCAACAAGTTTTTGGAACAACTCAGTATTTACAAAACCAAAGAATAAAGACATGGTTTGTCATGCGTCGGCGTGGGACATAAGTAGTACAGATGTTAGGTAAGATTTTTTGAAAATTAATCTTTTACTTGGCCTTGACGCCAAATGGTATCATTTATTTTTCGTAATATTTATGTTCCATATAAGGCAACAAGTTATTTTCGTGCATCTACTACATGTAAATTATTTTCGTGCATTTACTATAAATAACTTTATTTTTACATTCGAATCAGCTCATAAACAGCAAAAATATTTATTTTGAGACTTTTTCAATAATTTACCAAGTAAAGGGTTAAAATAAAGAAAGCAAAAAAAAATTATACTAAAAAATGAATTTTTTATTCAATATTTGACATATCGAATAAAACTTATCAATTTAATTTTAAATGGGTCTTTGTTAGAATGCTTGAACCCAGTACCAACGACACAAGCTTCCAATAATAAAAAGAAAATGTTCAAAAGAATAAAGATACATCAAAAAAAGAAAAAAGTTTTATAGGTTTTTTTTCATAGGTTTTTTCGTTTTAGTCTTATTTTCAAATGTTTAACTTTTCTTATCTCAAGACAACTTTCTAAATTCAAAAAAGAAAATTTTGTATTAAGCTATTTATGAACATTTTTTCCACATTATTATTACTAATATATAATATAGTATTATTATTCTTATATGTTTATAAATTCTTCAAAGTGTTGTATAATAACTTTTAGGTCAAATCAATCATTACACTTACATAAATAAGTTAGTAGTGTAAACTATTTAGGGAGATTGTAGCAAATTTTGTTTTTATTTGAATACGTTATCAAAATCTAGCAATGAAAAATAGACATCACGACATTACGATATCACGTCAAATCATCACGACATCACGAGTCTATCTATAAATTCATAAAATTTATTTATAACATTCATTAGGTTCGATGAAGTTCTTTAACAAACTACTTATGCTAATTTTTGATGGATGGGTGCACAATTAGGGTGGGGCACTATAGCTGCTCTAACATAAAACAAAATAAATTGTTTAACATAGCAAATCTACTGTTTCAAATACCAAAATCGGAGGTTGATCCTCATCAACATCAATAACAAAATAAACATTAATCCTGAAAAGCACAAGTTGTTTGTCACAAAGCATTTGTTAATTTTGGATCAACAAAATGTTATAATCAGCCGTATTTTGTTGTCGAATTGGCATTTGGTCATCGGTTATGGCATAGGGTATGTTTCATTAAACTAACTTTACATTTAGCCATTACTAGCATATTGTTGGTCCGACGTAGCGCTAGGTTGCTATGCTCGTTGATATGTCGTAACTTTAAGTTGGCAAGCAAGTCACATACAGCACTCTATTTCAACTAAATTTTACGCCACATGCATGTCACCTACAGCACTCTACATGTTACACTACATGTCACATTTTTATCTTATCCTATTGCATGTCACATACAGCACTCTATTTCAACTATATCTTAAGCCACGTGCATATGGCTTAAGATATAGTTCTCACAACTTTATTTTACCCCATTGCATGTCACATACAGCACTCTTTTTCAACTATATCTTAAGCTACATGCATGTCACATACAGCATTCTACATGTCACATACAACTATATTTTACGCCATTACATGTTGCATACAGCACTCAATTTCAACATACGAGTGGGTCTATGTGACATTAAAACAATTTTTAAACTTATCTAATATCAAGTATAAAGCAAAAGCCTAAATTTGATTAAATATTTCTTGATACTAAACTTTAAATTTTAAAAATTTGCTTTAAATTTTTGGAGCAATATATTTATTCTCTGGAAACTTTGTCGGGTATTTATAAGTAACTTATAAGTAAAACTAAATTGCATTTAAAGATATTCTATGCATTATTTTGAAAATAATAAGTAAAACTTGTTGTATATAAGGTTTACAAACATTATACTTAAGAAAGATTTGCGATGTTCAGTTTGCTTAACTTCAAGTACAATCCTGAAAATATACTTTTGTTTGTTATAAAGTATTTTTAGTTTTCCGTAGTTGAAAATCACATCCCATCTAACACACATACATTAGACCAAGGTATGTAAAACCATCGCAAACGTTGGCTGTTTTATCCGACGCAAGTCTAACGTTGATTCAATGTCATGTTTTTAATAATAATATAGATAAAAGGATTAATACCGACGCAACTAAAGAATGCTTGCACAAATTCTTTTGGACAACGTATGTAAAACGACGGCAAAACTTACAATCTAAACCAAACGTTGATCCAATGTAAATAACCCAACGTTGATTCATTGTATATGGATTAAAATTCGCAACATTTTTATTTTATTTTAGAAGCTCCAAGGTTTTATCACAGAGCACCGCAGAAGAGCATTTGGAAGGAAGTTCACGCCTCCTTCCTTACCGATTTATAAAGCTTGCCGAGAGGTGGCGTTGAACCACGGATCTCTATTGTCTAAGGCAAGCGCGCTAACCATTGCGCTACTGCTGCTCAAACATTGTTCTAAAGTTTAACCAACGTATGTGTGCTAGCTGGGATGTGTCCTTAAATGAGATTAAAAACTCATTTTTAAAAGAAAATATTTGTTTTGAAAAATGTCAACCTAGAAATATACTTACAAAAGTTTAAAAAAAAATAGTATTGAAGTATCAAAATGATATACTAAGGTATCGAAATGTTTTTAATGATTTCAAGTTTAAAATTGATGCCTACTAATTGTGTCTTCTCCTAACATTATTATCAGTTTTTCCAGTGTCTTGGATCCATATCTGATTGAAAAAAGGTTAATTTTCAAACAAATCTAAAGATGTTTCTATGGTATTTCTTTAAGTTTGTTTTTAAAGGAGATTGAAATTCAAATAAAAACAAAGAATTTTTGATATTCTATCTTTTTGGCGCCTTTTTTATAGTTGATTATCACAAGTTATTTTCTGTTTAATAATTTTAGTTATGAACAGAGAAAAATCAAATATTATGTAATTATTAAAAATTTTCTTGAACTTTTTATAATTAAAATTAACTTTTTATGACTTTTTATGATTAAAATTACTTTTTAGAATTAAAATGTGCGCAGAGGTAAATCAAAATGACCTGACCACAATTCATCATGAAATGGGTCACATAGAATATTTTTTAGCATACAAAAATCAACCAAACACATTCAGAGCAGGTGCTAATCCTGGTTTTCACGAAGCTATTGGTGATACAATATCACTTTCCGTAGAAACACCAACTTATCTTAAAAAAGTTAACCTCCTTAAAAAAGAAAAATGGAACAAAGGTAAAGACAAAATTTTGCAGCTTACAAAGTTATTTTGAATAAGATCTTTTATGCTTTTTAATAATAATCTAAATTTTAAATAGAACTTAATTTTGTTGTTTTTTGTCGTTTAGACGAAACAATAAGTTTCCTTTTAAACCAAGCTTTAAGACGTTTGGCGCCACTTCCATACAACTTGCTTGTTGATAAATGGAGATGGAGAGTATTTGAAGGAAACATCACCGAAAATAACTATAACAAAGCCTGGTGGGATTTTAGAGTAGAGTACCAAGGTATAGAGCCACCAGTTTCACGCCCACCAAATGCTTTTGATCCAGCATCAAAATTTCATATAGGAGCAAACGTTCCTTACGTGGCGTAAGATATTATTAAAATATTGTTAGTTTGAAAATCACCAAACTGTAACTTGTACTCTTAAAAATTTTTCTAAATTTTCAATACAAAACAAAAAGTGCAAAAACAAGAATTATTGGCGCGTAATTTTAGCGTATTAAGAAAGGTTTTTATTACTTCACTTTACAAGTCATAAATCACTTTTAATATTTAGCTAACAATAATAAGTCAATTTTAAGTAATGCACTGCTATTTTGAGTTCTTAGGTTTAGTGATATAATAACCGTGCTAGCATAAACTTTCTCAAATCTATCAAACTACAGTCTAAGTAAATTATTATTATATATATATATATATATATATATATATATATATATATATATATATATATATATATATATATATATATATATATATATATACAGAGTTAAATTGTACTTTTTTGTTTTGCAGATACTTCTTTAGCTACATTCTTCAATTCCAATTGCATAAAAAACTATGCAGAAGCACGAAATTTTCTGGTCCACTTTACTTATGCTCGATTTATAACGAAAAAGAAGCAGGAAACATTTTAAAGTAATACACATAAGTTTTTTTACATTTTGCCAACACATATAATTTTTAACTTTTATGAGTAAAACGAGCAAGGGCGGATCCAATGCAGCGAGGGAGCAATTGCAATCAACTTGGTAGTCTGGATCCGCCCCTGAACACGGAAATAGAATTATTTAACTACTTGTTTATAAATAACCAACTAGTAAAATACAAGCATGTAAAGTATGAACATCTTTACAAAATACAAATTTAAATTTTTGTTTAAAAAAAATTTGAACTTTAAAAAAAAAAAAAATTCAAATTTTGAGGAACACTAGTATATAAACAGTTTATGCACAAACAATTTATGTATATGCATGTATTTATTAGAAGTTCAATCTTCGACTCAAATGTATTAAAGGTATTATTTGCAGGTATTACGAGTATTAATTACAGGTACTATAACGGTCGGGTACATTGCATAGTTACAATCGTATAAATTGCATAAAGGTTAATAAGTAATCAAATATGGTTTGCAAAAAATGATCACATTTTAATCATATGTAAAATAATAGATATTCAAATGTCTTTGATACACATTTCTAAACCAATATTCAGTAAACAATACTAAATACTAAAATTAAAAAAAAAATTTATTTGTTAAATGTAAAAAAAATTTTTTAGAGTTATTTTAAATAGAAACCTGTTTGTATTAAATAAGTCATTGATTTTCATTTATAGAAAAATGTTAGAAAAAGGAAGAAGCAAACCATGGCCTCAAGTTTTAAAAGAAGCAACAGGGGAAAAAGAGCTAAATCCAGATGCAATTCTTGAGTATTTTAAACCTCTGCACACGTGGTTGGAAAAGCAGCGCAAAACAAAAAAATACGATATTAAATGGAAAAGGAGTCCACTTACCAAGGTAACAATCGTTCTTTTAATATTTATGTATATGTGCGAAAAATACAAAAATTAAAAGATTTTTATTATTCATGCTTCGCTAGGTATTTCAAAAAACAACAAAAAAGTATGAATTAGGTCAAGAAAGGTCTGGAATTTTAAAAACAGATAGTGGTGACGTTTCACTTTCAATCAATATTCCAGCTTTTTCTCTAGCGCAATTAATGGGAAACAATAAAGTTCAAAACTCCACTACTGTCGATTCAGCTTCTTCCTCACCAAGTAGAACTGTGTCTGAAAACAATCTTCAACTTGATCTTAGCAAGCTTCTTGCTTCAGGAAAATCTTTTTCAATAAAATCATCGGAAACGAATACCATAAACTCGGAGGGCAACACTGAAATAAAAAATAAAGAAATAAATATAAATTCTGAATCGGCAAGTTTTAAAGCTCCTTCAAAAGTTGAACTGCCTTTACAAGCTTTTAATAACGCTAGTGTCGATAAAACAGTACCATTAGCTGCCGCAGATAAAACAGTACCCATAGCGGCTCTAGATAAAACAGCACCTATGGCAGGTATAGATAAAACAGTACCTTTGGCAGCAGAAATTAAACCCGATGCTCCATTTCCACTTACTGCCACTTCACTTACTGAGGAAAAAAATAACCCTATTATTGCTGGTTTAGAAAAGCAAAAGACCAACCCAATTGCTGCAGCGTTTCCACAAGAGGTTAAACCAAACCCTGTACCCGAAAACCAAATAGCGCTCGTGCCAATTTCTTTGCCGTCTAATTTACTTAATATACTTCGTAATGCATTGAATAGCAGTGGTCTAGAAAGATCAGAAAAAAACATTGCTTCATTTAGTGATTCGCAATTAAAGTCTAGTAATAACAGTAGCACTAATCATACTACAGAGCTTACTAATAATAACCAAACATCAGCTAAAAACGATCCATTGAATTCTACAGCTACGTTGCCAGGAAAAAATTCAGAAGCTGTAAATTCAACTTTAGTTAAAGATGTTAAAGGAAATAACACACTAATTGGTGTAGATAAATTAATTCAGCCAGGAAATGAAGACTTAAACAATTCATCAAAAGTATCACCTCAAAATTTCATGTCAATGCAACAATTAGTATTACCTTGCAAACGATCGGATATACCTTGCGTATTTGGTAAAATTGTTACCGAAGGAAATAGTATACCGTCATTTAAAGAAGGGTTAGACGCGGAAAAGAAAACTGTTTCAATATCTCCTTCTTTATTAATCAAAAAACTTATTGAGCACCATGTCGCAGATAAAAGTACTCCGGACCCAGTAGTTAACGCTGTTCCTTTATCGTTGCCACTTGGGCAGACTTCGCAAGGTTTAACATTAGGATCTCAAGAAAATAATCAAGGCAACTTTGATTTAAATCAAATAATCAAAGCCTTGACTGGAGCCATTAAGCCTCTTAATAAAAATGATACATCCCCTGCCGATACAAAGCAAACAATATTACAAGCAAGTGCTGAAGCTCCCAAAGTTACAATTAAGTCAAATGAAGATCTTTCAAAAATTACCAACGCCGTAAATTGCTCAAATATACAGAAAAGAGGGGTTCGACTAACAATTAAATGCAATGAGGGTAAACACAAAGGAGGCATGTTATCTTTAACACCGCAGGAAATTGTGCAGAGATTAATTAACTCAAAGAACAAGAACGAACTAAACAAAAAAACAATACCCGGAGCAAACGTTATAAATACACCAAATGGGTTTCAGTTAAACTTTGATCTCATTGCTAAAGATCAAATACCATATGATCTAACTGAAAAACCGAGCAACCCGTCTGCACGTCATTTGACGTCTGGACGGCAACAACACGTTGATGTTTTTAACACTGCTAAAGGTATGGTTGTTAAACCAAAGTCTTCTATTCAGCTTTTAACTCCGCAGTTTGTTCCAGCCCTAGATAAAGACAATATTGAATTAAGAAAGTCGGATAAGTAGGTTTTTTATTTAACATTCAATTCTGTATAAAAGGATGTCATTCACGTTTTTTCAAAAAAAATATAATAATAATAAAAATAAAGAATTAAGTTCATTATTGTTCTCATTTTTAAATAAAAAGCATTAAAAACGTAAAAAAATAGAAGTTTAGTTGGGTGAAGGTAAAAGGGCTTGGTTTAAAACCCTTTTTAAAATAAAATAAAAATTTGCTTGAATAATTGTTTAACTTAATTATTAATGAATAATATAATAAAACTGCTTTAAAAACTCTATAAAGGCTTTAATTTATGATGATCTAGTGATTATGTATGTTTATTTTATGATAATCTCGTCTAATCTAGTGTTATTTTATGATGATCTCGTCTAATCTAGCGTTATTTTATGATGATCTCGCACCTAATCTAGCATTATTTTAAAATCTTGTTTTAAAAAACAAAACTCGTTATTCTTAACTCACACTTTGTGTGCATGGAGTCTTTCAAAACAATATTTATGTGTCACATTTACACCAATACATAAATCTACATTTTTACCTATTTGATCTTAAAAAAAAGATCTTCTACCAAATAATGGAAATAATTTTTAGATGTTCTACTGAGACCAAATTTTCAACTGTTGACATTTCTTTTTACGGAATTTACAGTACAACGGAACGTACACATAGAGTACAGCGTGGTATTACTATTTAAATATATGAGTCCACGAAATATATACTTAGTATGTTAAGAAATAGTATAATAATAGCTCGTGTTATATTTCGATGTAAATGTTCGATGTAAATGCAAAAAATTTTAATTGAGAATAAAAATCCTCATGTTCTTCTATTTGAAAAAGTAAAAACTAGATTTGTTTATCAGTTTTTATAAGTTCTAATAAATTCTAAATTTAGTGCATCCGCGGCGCAGTGGTTAGAGTTCTGTCTCAGAACCAAGAAGTCCAAGGTTCTATACCGGTTCTAGCCCAATATGCAACATTGACAAAGAAAAGAGACGTGAACTTCATAGTTAAGTACACTTCCGCGGTGCTCTGTGATAGGACCGTAAGGACTTTTGGGAGCGCCTTAATAATCACAAAACAAAGAAAAAAAGAGATATTAGCTCAATGATTAACTTTTTACGTTGGTTATTTAATTCGTTAATCAAATTGTGACCTCTTTTTTTCTACAAAAATTTCCTCAAGTTTCCGTTAGTTCTAGTAATGCTGTATAACAGTTGTCTAGTTTTGTTATACAACGATTGTAGCAGTGATTAACGTTTCTATTTCCATAGCAACTTTTCTATTTCCATAGCAATTGTTTTACAAGACTAATTCTATTGCACAATAAATGTTGAGTTTTGCAACTTGCCCAAGAATATGTTTTATCATTTATTGTCATTAAAAAGCATAGTTGTTGAGCAACTGTTGTACTTTTGTTGAGCAACTGTTGTACTTGGAAACCAAACTTCTCGCATTTTGTATATTTTTGTGAAAATGTGCTTATATAGATGTGCGTACCAAGTTCAGCTCAATAAAGCCGTTGCTATAGAAGACAAAATAAAGCCGACTCTCTTTTCACGATTTTCTTAGGAAATTTTCGGGCGGAAATTTATTCAAGCAAGCAAAAACATCAATAAAAAGTCAGCCCGGAAATGCAAAGTAAAAAAGTATAAAAGTTGAACATTGTTGAGCTTTTAATTTTCCGCTAGTTTTTTATTTCAGGTGGTTTATAGGTTAAAAAAATCACTTCTGCATTTAATTGACAAATCCCGACGGGCATTTGTTTTTAAAAGTTACGTTCTAAATGTGTTTTAAACGTCTTTTAAACGTCTTTTAAACATTAATGTTTAAAAGACGTTTAAAAGACATTTAAAATACATTTAGATCGTAACTTTTAAAAACAAATGCCCGTCGGGATGTTTCCAAATAACTTTAAATGAAAAGAATTATTGCTTTTACCCACCAACACACTCAAAAAAAAAATTATAAATAATTAACTTTTTTTGCTAAGTCAGCAAAAGATAAGCAAAATATACACACAGTTTTAAAAATGTTTTAAAAATTCCTAAAATATACTTGTAACTCCTGATAAGTTAAAAATAGATAATCCCAATATACTAAGGAGACAGAACTAATGTATGTAACTACCGACCTAATTCTATTTTATCAACATTTTCAAAAATTATTTACAATAGATTATATACTTATTTTAAAGAGAAGAATTTTTTTTTATAAAAATCAGTTTGGATTTAAAAAAAATAGTTCTACTGAGCATGCAATCATCTAATTTGTTCGTGAAATCTCTAACTCTTTCAAAAATTAGAAACTTTTGAATCAAATGCTTTTGATAAATTCAAAAAAATACCTAAAGTGAATTTTTGAAAGAGTTAGAGATTTCACGAACAAATTAGATGATTGCATGCTCAGTAGAACTATTTTTTTTAAATCCAAACTGATTTTTATTAAATTTTGATATAGTAAATCATAGCATTTTGATTCATAAACTTAAATATTATGGAGTGGATGGTGCAATTTTGAAATGGTTTAAAAGTTATTTAACAAACCGAAAACAATTTGATTCTTTTAACGATCCTTATCAAAAAAATGTTTTCGATATTTCATGTGGTGTTCCGCAAGGATCAATTTTGGGACCACTTCTTTTTTAATAAATAAATAAATGATTTGCATAAAGCTCCTAATCTTTTAAGTATTATGTTTACGGATGATACTAATATATTTTTATCTGATAACAGTATTAATAAACTCTTCACTATGAATGAAGAACTCATTCATAGTGAAGAGTTTAATTAATTACTGCAATACGTGTAATTAATTTTGCTGATCGTTTTTCTCACTCTAAACAACTTTTTTATGAAATGAATACTTAATATTTACGAACTTAATATTTTAAAAATTTTATGCTTTGTATTTATGCGTAAAATTTTTTTTTTTTAATTTCTTTGTATATATATGTAAAAACAATCTTTCTCTTGCCGTTTTTAATGATTTAATTACCTTGAAACATACCAATAACTACTCTCTAAGAGTAGTTATTGGTATGTATTCTTTTGTCTAATTTTAATTTTGATCTATCTACTTCTTTGCATCTTTTTAAAGTTAAGCTGAAAAATCTTTTTCTTTCCCGTATTATCAAAATTTGACAATAATATTTATATTATGGAAATATTTATTAAACTTTATTATCTATACTACAAAGTAATATATGTATGTATATTTTATTTTTATTTTGTTATACTTATAGTTACTTTATAACCTAATATTTTGTTTACGCTAGTATAAGGTTCTGACAATCTTACTGATCTTCTTTCAGATACCTAGTTTTTCAAATGTTAGTAGTATTTGCTTACTTTTTAATTTGTATTAACTTTTTAATTACTCACTATATTGTAAAAACGAACTAACAAATGTAAACTAAAATATTATATATATATATATATATATATATATATATATATATATATATATATATATATATATATATATA